CTTGTACATTACGAAAGGTGTTTACAAGTCTCCAATCACTTGTTAGTTCATGAAATAACACTGTATGATAATATCTGTGTCAACCACTGTACAGTTTTACATGACACTATTGGTTCTTAATAGTGGAGTAACAAGTACGTAACTATTTGAGGTGAAGCAATTCAAGGTGTTGGTGTTCGTGACAAAAATATCTATCGGCTTATCAAAGATGTTGAAGATGCCAACTGTGAACTGCAGTCTGGAACATATTATGGTTTAATTAGGTTGGGCTACTAGAGACATGCAACGATATGCTCTGATGACAGGTTTTAAAAAAACATTGCCTTTTCGGTTTCTTGTCTGATTTGAAGAAATTCACGTGTTTAGTAGGATCTAGATATCTCAAAGTTTCAGACATAGGTATCTATCATTGCCATTGTGTTGAGAATAATAACTACAGAAAATTGTTCCTGTATACTTTAAGTCAATATCATCGGAAAGAATGTACATGTATATTTCAGTGTGAAAGGATCTCGTAATGTATTTATGCCTCTGACCACAGCTTGTCCTGTAGAAACTGAGTTTAGGTTGGTACGTGGTATAGTTATATGCGTGCAAGAAGATAAGATATCGTTGGTGATATAATTATTGATGAAGGTATGAAATAATCCTTTCAGAAATGACACAATTTTCAGGTTGGATGATTAATTATCTCTATATATACACTCGTTTAAAATAACTGAATGTAAAAAAATAATCAGCTGTATTAAAAGACGTAAAAATATCAGGGTATCAGAATATCTTTACAGATTAATCCAATTTAAACCAGAAAGAAAAGATTGGAAATATTTCTGATGGATGCCAGAACCAATTAGCAGCTCTGATTTACTAATTGATTTGCGATGATTCATTCCAGCTTTCGAAATTAGACATATATTTTAGTGATATTTTCTATTAACGATGTTATTCATGTCATATAGAATAAAAAGGGTTGTTTTTATAATGAAAAATTGTTCATTTCGGAAACGAGTGCCCTTTCAAATTATTCTGATTTTAATAGTAAAGTACTTTACAGTTTTCACATTCAACCAATGCAGACAAGTAATTGTTTAAAATCATTGAAACATTATGGTGGATTTAAGAGGATGGGAAGGCAATTTTAGCGAAATAATTAAAATTGTAAGTAGTCGGTCTATGTCGTGACAACTATTATCTTCAAACAATGAACAAGGCCCCCAGAAATCAGGTCAACTCTACACCCTACCCTAGTAATACAATGATCAGAGACAGTCAAGTAATATGAAACCTATTATAAAGAAGACATTCATTCCTCGGTAATTAGTGATGGTTCAAATTTTACCAACCAAATTCTTCAAGTTAGTAAATATAAAAAGAAGAAGCTACTTAATTTGGTCTTGATAAAATTATAGTTGAACATTAGGAACTAGCTCGACTCTAGTGAAAATAATTGCTCGATGGTGTGATTTGTGTCGATAGAGATAATGAGCGAGGCTAAAGTTATATTTTCTATTATTACGAGTTCATACGCGTTATTATCTTCTATAATGACTTTCTAGGGGCACATCTTGTTTCGTCTTACTGCAGACTCTAGTTAATGCCAATATTTGTCTCTGTCTCTAATTACCCAAATCTCGTGGGAAGGATGCGGCCAAGGCAAGAAAAAAGAAATTAGTGATTAATAAATATTAGATTTTTTGAACACTTCAGTTTCCATGAAATGAAATCCATTATTAGTTGTCATGGTAACAGTTTGCGTTAGGTGACGTCACACATTAATGTCAGCAATTGTTAAAGGGGTGTTAGAGAAATTAGTAAGAAGACATAGAATGACATTAGTAGTGAATTACAGTCATTTGGTCGACAATCATCATGTATAATATTATTACTTCATCCTATACAACTCTCATCAAACTGAGAATATTTTAAATTGATCAATATCTTCATTCCACAGTCGGCCATTTACTTCCCTTCTTTTTATTTTATGTTGAGAATAATTATCTCAGATTGTCACATCTAGTCATGTAACGATCACATCTTCAATAACAGGATGCAGAGGTTTCATTTTCAGTTCTGTGGCACAGTTTTTTTTAGTTAAGTTCTGATTAAATACGTAGATCAATTCCATGTTATGCTTCCAACTCTGATTATATTGGCTTTAGTAAGGCAGTTCTACAAAAAAAAATAATAATAAACCCCTTAGGACTAGGTCCTTAGTCAGATCATCTGAAGATAAACTTTCATTTTGTCCAAACGAATGTATACTTGATCGTATCACATCATCGACTCTTTGAAAGGCACCACTATTTCAACCTGTTGAGCTCATTAATTATTCCGGTAAAATGTGTATATTCAACCTTTACATAAGATAGGCAAACATACCATAAACAATAGTGTTGTCAATCACTAGAATAAATAATCTTTTATTCATCTCCATCTTTCAGTTTATTTATCTGTTTAAAAAGGTTGATACGGTACAGATTGGTCGTGTCAATGCCTCAGGCCTAATTTGAACAGTAGCCTCTACTTGTCTCATGTTGACAGCTACTTCGATAACCGTACTCAAATCAGGGTGATTAATTTTCTCTGTTAATGAGCCAAGACACTGGCTATTTATAGATTACGTGAGTCACTTGTCTCCACATAAATGCCGATACCCTTTGAACCTTTGAACTCCTGAACTCCCCAAAACAAATACCTACTTCTGTGGAAGTCATCTTTTCCTTAATGACGATTTTTTGAAAAGGAGTGAAATATTTGTCTTTGTTCTTTTATAGCCTGGGGCATAAATTAACATACGTTTCGGTCCAATTCGTATCTGATGAGCTTAGCTGATTAAAAAGAACAATTGACTGTGAAGATAAACATGACTGAAACATGCAGGTGTAATGAGAGATCACGTAGGTGGGAAATATCATTCTCTTGAAAATCATATACAATTAAATAGTTTATCAAATACAGTTATTATTTTTCAGACAACTAGATTGTTCCAACCAATCCACTGAAATGTCTAGGTCCATTTACTTTATCAAATTTTAAACTACATGTATCTCTACTTCAAAAAAGGCGGTAACAAATTACATGTAGGCCTGAAAACCATAAGCTTCATTCAGAACAAGACGACAATAAAGCCTGCTGCACTTAAAGGAATAAATGACACTTGTTTGAACGATGTTGTCCAGCCTGATTTGACACATACTGTGCTGATGAAAGATAAAAGGTTAGCCTACTAACTTCAGTCACGCTCTTTTCGCATCTAAAGGCTCGTGTGACTTAGCCTACTCTTCATCCTTTTCAGTTCGGAATATTTAGTCAGGAAATATCTGAATGGGGATCTGGTGGTTCATTTCTTAAATTCGCTTTAAACCATGACAGCGAAATAGCTTCTACTAATTTTCAATGTTCTCAAAGCCATTCAGTTGCATATCAAGCACAGAACTTTTTCTGAATAACTTTCAGAAGCTTTAAACCCGGGGTGCTGATTTTCAGCGTAACCCTAAGGTTATTCATGTTTTTTCAATGACAGTCGTCGTGGGCCTACGATACGATTTATTGCTGTTCTTAAAACTGAAAGTTAGACCAAAATCAGAAAACAGGACACAAATTAGCGAAGATAGTGGGTTTATAACCTAAGAATCTATAGTCTACTGTGTAGGCCTACTTAGTTTTAATCGTTCTACATTAATTTGGCAGCAATATGGCGCAAATATAGGCCTATCCAAAAGACAACAAAATCCGCGCCATCTGATAAAGGGCGATGACTCTCAAGATTTGTTACAGACAGCAATAAATTACCGTTGCTGATATAGAACATCATTCTTTATCGTTGATAAATTTCTACAGAACGTAAAAACCTTCGTCTTTCAGAAAATTTGTTAATTTAATCAGTAGGATCTATTTATAAATCCATAATGGCAGGTCAGAAGATTTCAGTTCAAATTATCAAACATAATTTGGCCGATTGATCAGTCTGTAATTCCACGTTGACTTGCTAGTAATTAAAGGGACATGACCCTCTTCAACGTTTGCCAGACAACAAATACCTACAAAACTATAATTTTCCCAACCATACGCCTTCGATGTGCTTTAATTGTATTCGCAAAATATGAACATACTGATGATTAGTCTTGAACATGCCCATAGACCATCCTTAATTCCTTTTGTGTGTATCTCAAATTATTATTTTACATATTTGTTGTATTTGTAGGCCTAAGGGAGTCAGCTTCGTAGTTGTAATAAAGTTCTTGTGATCTTCATATTTTATCCAGTCTGCTTTCGAATATTTTGTTTTTGCGCTGATAACATTTTCCAGCAGGTTATTCCATATGTTTCCAATCTATATTTATAGTTCTAATGATATATAGACACAGCTTTATGGAACAACAATCACTGGTTAAAGTTTTATGCAACGTTTCGACGTATTTGCCCCGTCGTCCTCAGGCACATAATGAGATTGAGAAGAAGTGTCTATATATCGTACTCACAATTGCTAAATGCCATTCAAAGACTTTATAGTTCTAATGGTTAAAAGGTTCTTCCTTAGATTCTATGCTGCTCTAGCTGTGTTGGTATAATTTCTTGCTGTGGCCTCTAATATTGTCGGTGTTAAACTTGAAATATGTGTTTGATACCCGTGCGTGGGGATAATACTTGACAGTACTAATAGACACCATAGAACGTGCAGTTCTATGCAGAAACGAGACGACTAGCTTTTAAACATTATTTTGTAGATCTATTAAGGCGGAAATGACGTAAAAATGTAAACAGGAAGTTGGTGTTTTTCGGTAGTTGTTTCATTGAATACTATAGGAATATTATACTAATTAAGCTGTCGTGTTTATCACTAATTAAACTTTTAATGAGTTTTGTAATTAGTGAAGATAAAGATATTTATAACTCAGCTGTCTGTAGGGAATTTGATTATTGGCAACATTTTGTTTCGTATCTTTTAATGTTTGATCATTGGAAACTGCGGGTTTTTTCTATTTATCAAGTGATCATCGTTTCGATCTGCCCTTATTTTATCAAAGAAAGTAGGTGCCTTTCTGATGACATGGGAGAATGGACTAGGACAAGGCTCTGTTCACCTTTGGCAAGAACTGTTTACAACAAATTGATAGATGATCAACGACACAGAGTGGACAATCATCGATATGTGAGTATTGTTGTGCCGTGGGTTATAAAACAAAAAATTAAAGACCAAATGGCAAAGGCTACTAGAACCAATAAAAACTCTGACCACTATTTTGTAAGACTCAAAAGAATACTAAGAGCAACAAGTAAAATTTAACATAGGTTTATTATTCTTTTCTAAATAATGTTTGAGAAATGATCTGAGGCTTATGAGAAGTGATCTGAGTTTGTAAATGAAAAAAATTATTTGCAGTTGTTTTATTTTTGTTTTTTTTCTAGTGGTATGAATTCGATGTAAAGATGTTACCAGAATATCTTTGTGATAGATTTGTTCCAAGTCACCAAGACAACGAAACTAGTTTATTCCTTGAAAACTGCTATGATAAGTCAGACTGGATATTTTCTCAGTTATATTTCTCAATGGCCAGAGCAGTTTTGAGTTGGTTTATGTCTCCAACATCTATAAATGGGTAATAAATGAATCAGAATGTTGTATTTTGAATATATGTTTTTTTATTTCTGTATGGTTATGAGAATAAAATTACAACAGATTTTAGAATGTTGATAAACAAAAATATTGTTTTTTTTTAATGATTTCAAAAGATAAACACAAATAAGTCTAGTTTGACATGTTTTATGTGTTGATAGTCAGTAATATTAGTTCAGATAAATGTGAAGATCAGTTTGAAATTTATTTATTGTAGTTGGTTAGACAGAGGTTCCATGTTTGTATTTTCTGTTGATCAGATAAAGGCTCTGTTATCGATACCAGAGGGATGGAAAGCTGAAAACTTTATTGATTTAGGTATTTTATTATGTATTCCATTATATTTGAAATAAAAAAATGTATGATTTCTTAATGCTTAATTGAAACTCTTCCCTATGCATATTTTCACAAATCTTATGGTAATATTACTCTGTTCTGTTTTTTGTATGATTTATGCACTGACATATTTTATTGAAGGAGCTGGTGATGGAAAAGTTACTCAGAAGTTTGGTCATTTTTTTGAAAATATCTATGCTACTGAAGCTTCTTCTGTTATGGTAAAAAGATTAGAAGAAAAAAATTTCAAGTAAGGCATTTTTAACATTCTATAGTTTTTATATCATACTTTTATGATAAAGGGATTAGGGTGGTTAAATATAAAGTTACTATTCAGCAGAATGCACTGGCACAGGGTTAAAACAGTGTTCATTATTGTTAAGGCTAGTTTGTTAAAACGAGAATTCACAATATATAGGAGGAGGGTTGTTCAGTCCCGTCATTAAGGTTGGGTCCGTGGGTGCCGGGCCCCAGCAAGTGAGAATTAGGACTCAGCAAAACCTTCTTCAGATTCATTTACAGCGTCTTTGCACAAAATTAAAAAGATATATATTTTGATACGTTTTTGGCACCTCAAAATTGTCAGAAATTAGTTCTCTCGGCCTTTAATTCTTCGAATTTTTTTAGTACAATATCTGAGCCCCAACACCAATTCATTCCTGGTGATGGGGATAGGGTTGTTGTTTGTCGTACAATAAAAATTGGTTGTTCGTGTAAAAAATTGCATTTTTATGATGAAATTTTTTATTAAATTTCAGAAACGAGGCCCACATGATTTTAATGGATAGACCGATACTCTAGTTTTCCTCTTATTATTATACTAATGTATTGTATAATTTCAGGGTGCTAGATATAGACTCTTGGAATAATGGTACTATTATATATGATTTGATTGGTTGTTTAAATTTGTTAGATAGATGTGATAAACCTATTTCTATTCTTCATTCTATAAGAAAATCTTTAAGAAAGAGTAGTGGTAGGGCTATTGTAGCTGTAGTTTTACCGTATACACCATATGTTGAGTTTGGTAAGTTATTCTATATATTTTTGGGATTTGGATTTATCTCATAACCCAAATAAAGTAATGGTAGCTTTGATCTGTGGATCAATTTTTTTAATTTGCAAGTCTTTTTGAAAGTAGAAGAATGATACAATTTCTTTTACATTTTCATTTTGTAGAGTCTTCAAATCACAAACCAACTGAAAGTGTTATTATTAGTGGCAATAGTTTTGAAGAACAGACAATAAATTTGATAAAAACTATGTTTGAACCAGCAGGGTTTGAAGTTGAAAAGCTCACAAGATTACCATATATATGTGAAGGTGACATTCATAAATCATTTTATGTTTTAAGTGATGCTGTTTTTGTGTTAAAACTTAAAGAAGAAGGCTGATATTGTGATAAAGCATTGAAGTATTCTTTAATTCTATGCATAATGATATTTCTGTATTCTTTTTATGATATTAGATGCCATTCAATGTGGTTTCTGGGACCCAATTGATGTATTCTTTTGGATATGTACAATGTCTATTTTTTGTATTGCTTTATTTTTCTTGACCCATATTACATGTTATATCCCTCATCCAGAATTTAGTCTTCCACATTAAAAATGTGTAAATGACATTATTTTTGATATGGATAATGTTTTTGATTTTGCCTTTATTTAAATTCATAAAAGCATTTAACCCATACATAGTTTTATGCATTATTTCATTTATTCTCATGTAAATTTTCATCAAGCTCCTTGGATACACATTCACCAAATTTAGTCTTCCACTTTCAAAAATGAAAATATTTGACTTGAATTTGATTGGATTTAAATTAATAAGTCTATTTAACTTGCTCTTAGTTTTATTTATATATTTTATCTTTTCTAATATTTTCACATTATCTTTTCTCTACATGACAGAAAATCACATCTTTGTCCACTTGATCAAGAGACAGCCACAATGAAGTTTAAAATCATGGATTTAATACAAAATTCGTTAGACTACCTCTCAGAAAAATGGGAGGGAGAAGATGTGAGCCTTTCAAGTTTCTGAGTTGGGATGTAACAATAATTATGTTGTCTGACGTAACAAATACAGTATAAGCCTATATTATCAGATCTATAAAATAAAAGTGATACTCAATGCGTGTTAACACTAACAACCTTTCAAATTGAATAAATATAAATAACATAGTTTTGGACCTTGGTAAAATGAGCTAGTTCTGAATTTAACTGTGGTCTACAATCGAAGGGCGGAAACTCCATGTTATTATTTCCCTTTTCTGTTCAAAGCACAGAGAAATGTGAAATAGGGAAACTGAGATGTGAGCAATTTGCAGGCTCATTTTCAGTGAAGTAGAGAAAAAAATCATGCTCATAACACATTTTTATGCTAAATACAGCTTTATTAGCCTCTTTGCGGTATGTACCTATTTATTTATTTTGAGTTATTCAGATTTTTAACTTGGTGTCTGTAAACTGCAAACCTCTCAGTTCTTTTTTCTTTCATATGAAACACTAGTCCAGACACAAGTTTTCTGATAATTTTGTATAGTAGATCTATTCTATTCTTAGTTGAACTATAACTAAAATGTCATGTAATCATCTGAAAGACCTATTTCTTTCATAATAAGCCACTTCATTGAATGTGTTATGATTTGTATTTTGTTTAGTATTGTGTGATAGTAAAAGCAGAAGATGAAATTAAAAGATGTAATAGGCAGAAATCAAGGATTGTTAGAAATGTCATTAATACTGTGAGTAAAAGCAGTAACCCTAGAAATGAATTAATTGAATTATTATGCCTAATCCAATTCGAGAAGTGTTAAAATTCAATAAGAGGTGGGATAAGTCCAGGAATAGGAAAGCTTTTCACAGATTTAAGGGTGTTGTAAACATGTCTCTCCTACAATACAGAATCTCAAAAACTTTTAAGGGATTGAAAATGTTTTTAGTCTGTAGGTATGTGTATGAGAGAAGGCCTCTATTTAGCGAACTTAATTCTGTAGTTACTTTAATTCCAGAAAAATTCGATTCATCATCACTGTTCTTAAAACCATTATCTAGTTACACATAACTAGGTTGTTACACACGTGTGAGAATCCAGACAAGAAATCAGAATAGAAGGCTACATTGGTTTGAGTTTAAGAATTCCTGGAAATCACTTCCGAGTCTCTACTAGCCTACTAATTTAAATCTGTTCCTTTGCGCAATTATTGGTGTATATAGTATTTTTATATTTTATTTGATAGAAAATAGTTAAAGAGTTTGATAAGTTGGATGTTGAGTTACCAGTGACTTGTCCATTACATCCACATCATGATATATATAGGATACAGGAATCTCATAAATACATGGAAACCATCAGTAAATGGACATGTTTATATTGTGGTAAAGCATTTGTAGCTGAGGATTATTTAGATAGACATTTTATAAATAGACATTCGACAGAAATCAAAATAGTAAGTACAGAGAAATCCCACCATGGAAATGTGGGCGTATATTGCTGTCGCCCCTGTTCGACAGTCTTTCAACATTTCTTGTGAACACAATAGAGACCACAGTTTTTATCTAAATTTTTTAAGGTTTTTTGAGTTATTGCCCTTGACTTAGGAAAAACACGTCAAAATTTGTTTTGAACACAATAGACACTTCAGTTTTCAACTGATTTTAATGAAATTTGGTGTGATCATTTATTGATGAGATCTTGGACAAGTTTGAACTTGATGATTTTTCGATGAACTGTTTTTGAGTTATAGTTCTTGAGCACAATAGAGAAAATGTGATTTTTATGAAATGTGATGTGATGATTTGTATTGATGATTGAAATGATGTATTTGGGTTATTGATATTGATTTTAAGAAATTTTGTGGAATTACTCAGCACAAATAACTGACAGTAAATATATATATCATTGAATTCAATCTAATATTTAATCATTCCTTACAGCTGGCAGTGGGCGTATGTTACCTTGCCTTGCAAGCTATCTTTAAAGACTACCTGTAGTAATGTCCAATGAATGAATTTTGTTTCTGTAATATGTAAGATAGTGGACCACAGCCATATACGCCCACCACGGCATGGTAAAAACGAAACATCCATTTTAAGAAAACTAAGAGAGTAATAGCATATTTAAGATTTTTGGGCAATTATATATTTTATATACAGTTTAATAATAGAATATTCAAGATTTTAGGGCAAGGGCAATAACTGTGCTTCTGTCGAAAATAGCTCAAATTCAAACTTGATCTTCGTTTTATGAATATGTATACACATACCGAATTTCATTTGATTCCATCAAAAAATCTAGTTTTTAGAGTGTTTACGAGCAATTGATGTTGATAGAAAGTACTTACTGTATAGAGGTTAAAGGGCGATAACTCTTCAAAACTGACGTAAGAGGCCTAAATTTTTAAAAAGCCTTAAACTTCATCAGAAGTAAACTAAACTTTCTCAAACCTTTTCGATTTAGGTCCATTAACACCCATTTTAAGCATATTCTAGATTTTGGGGCAATGGCAATAACTCTGCTTCTAACTGTCAAAAATAGCTCAAATTCGAACTTGATCTTCGTTTTATGAATATGTATACACATACCAAATTTCATTTGATTCCATAAAAAAATCTAGTTTTTAGAGCGTTTACAAGCAAATGTTGACGGACGGACGGACAGGGGTGCCGGCAATATACGTCCACATAGAGAGATGTGGGCATATAAAAATTATGTCAAACTTCAATCAATTCATTTTAAATTACAGCATAATTCCACACAATGTTTAGCAGATTATTGTGATGTATTTCGCTGTGATATAATAGCTGGATTTAGAAAACCTGATTTCTGGGATCTAGCTCTTTGTATGGAAGATGATATGGAAGAATCAGCCAAGGATTGTGTGGTATGTATTGGAATTGTTAATTGATAATTTACACCTATATTGTATTTAAGGGCGACAGTCTGTTGTCAAAAAGTTGTATCTTCTATACTGTTGATAGGTCAATATTATTGAGACCAAGCTGTGATTTTTACATTTACTAACTTTCTTAACTTTGATATTGTATGAATGGGCCATATATCAGCCCATAGATTTATTATTTTATTATAGAAATTAATGGACAACTGTATACCTAAACACATCACAGCCAATGAAACTAAATATTTTAAAAGTAAGTAGTAGCTTCTGATATAACTGGTTTACTATGTCAGCTTTTATGAAGTTTCAAGAACATTTGAGATAATTGTTGTAGGATTGATTAAGTAATTCAACTTTGGTTGTTTATTGTATAAGTCATTCATTTATTTAAATTTTAGAATTATTAGAGGAGGCCGTTTGTTCCTATTTAACTTGCAATAAATACTGGGAAATACCAAAAACTGAGGTAAATTTATTTCTTCCCTTATTATCACAATTAAGATACATAAGGTATCACTTGGTAATGATTATCAATTCTGTAAACCATGCCATTTTAAACCTTTGGTGAATTCTTAATGCATGTACAAAAGGACTTCAGATGAGCAAAAGGCAACAGTTTTAAAAACTGTCAGACACAGCATCAAACATTGTGGAATCACCAGCTTGCGACCACGGAAAACCTTACAACGCAATGAATCTAGTTGTTTTTAACATAACTATTGGTTTGAGCGTCTTGAATAAAATAGATTATAAAACTACCTTCCTTTCACTGTTCTTTGTTAATGTTCCATGTAAGAGGCTTATTCTGGAAAGAGGGACATTAACTGAAATTTCCAATGTTGAGGGATATTATATCAAATTCCCTTAGAAGCGGGATATTAGAAAAAAGAAAACCCTGTCGTAACAATGGGATGACGTCATAAGAGGTTTATATGTGTCTGGATATCTGATTTACCATGATAATTGTTTTTTTTTGTAGACACCAGATGGTAAAATAGCTGTTTATGTGGTACTAGCAATACTAATAGCATTTGGATTAGTTGTCTACTATTGTGTTTTTTACCAGTTTTATTAGTAAGTACTGAGATTTTGTTATTGCCCATAATATTGTCTTCCTCTTTGCTTCCATTCAATTATGGTTGTATATCAATTTGAAATAAATTTGGGCTTCACAGTTTCATACTGTGTAATGCTAAGACAGGCTGAGTATTGAGCAATTTTGAGAGGTATAAATGAATATGGAATTAAAGATGGGTTTGTTTAATTTGTCACTAAAATATAAGGAAACTATTTGATGGATTGGTGTTTCTAATGAATTATCATGTATTTTTAATCATTATGTTCTTATTGTATATAATTAAGAGTTTTAACCAATCATAAATGTACAGTCTAAATAAACAAAAAAGACTTTTTGACCTTTCTTGATTGGTCACTCATTGGAATTCTGCTGGTAATTCTCTTCTAATTTAGCTAGTTATGAATTAATTATGGACATGTGAGACAAACTGGTATTTTTCTAAGTCATTAGAACACCTCTACTTTCTATTCATTTTCATTTTCATAAATGATTGACCCACTTAAGACGATTTAATGCCAAGCAGTGCAAATAATTTTGTCAGGGTTAATTCAAACACATTGTGTCAATCAGTTTTCTGACAATTCAGTTCCCCCACATGCTCTCACTACTACCTGTTCCATTTCAGCACCGATACGTTTTCTGATTCCATAGTTTATGATCCTACACCTCGAGGTAATCACAGAATGACACCATATTATGAAGTTAGACAGAGAGCTATGGCTAGAAATGTACAAACATGACATTTCCTTTGTGACTTCCAAGTTTTCTTATCAACTTTTCACCAGATGAACAGAAAGTGGTCTTTCAAAAGGGAAAAACTGAAACAGTTGAGATGAATAATGTGAAAGTGACAATGGATATGTGGCTTATGATTATACGCTCACATCAAAATGTGGAAGTATATTGCTGTTGCCCCTTTCCGACGGTCCGTCCACATTTCTATTGGATTTTACTGAAATTTGGTGTGATCATTTGTATTCATTTATTACGTTCAATTTGACGATTTTTCTTTTCGATGGTCTTTTGAGTTATTTCCCTTGAATTAAGAAAAACGTGTCTAAATTTGTTTGTGAACACAATCTAGACTATAGTTTTCAATTGATTTGAATGAATCTTGGTGTGATCATATATATCAATAAGATCTTTAACTAATTCATAATTGACTATCATTCGATGAATATTTTTTTAGTTATTCCCTGTTGTCCTCATCGGATAAAAATTGTTGAGAATTTAGTGAGGTTCAAAATCAATGATTTTTCAATGAACGGCATTTGAGTTATTGCTTGTAGTGGGAGTATGTTACCTTGCCTGGTAAGCTATCTTGTGAATTTTTAAGTGAGAATAGGTCGGAAAGTATTACTATCTGATAAATGAAAACTGTATAATGCATTCAACAATATATTAATATAACAATTACATGTTTTGATTTGGCAGCAGAAAATAATTTTTTCACTAGTATGAATTTTGGGATTTTTGGGAGAATAAATAGCAATTGAAGCGACCTCCATGATTTGAAACATACTCAATTAAGCATAATATCTTGGTATGATTTATCAGTATAGTTATATCATAACAAAAATACAAAGTTTATATCACAGTCCACTCAATTATCTTCTATTTTCTTGGTCTGAGACTTTTAACAGCTGTTCATAATGATTTTGTGCCTATCACCAAAGGAATCTGGATCACCAGCCATCTATAACAGGATTGTTTATTAAACAGCTACATCCACAACCTGTAGGACATAAATCTTCCTCTTCAAACCAATCTAAAATATGTTGTGAATGACCTCCATGTCCACATGTCAAACAGAAATTAGCAGCACCTGCAAAATATAAACCAAAGAATCACACTAGAGACCTAAGTTCGTTATGCTTTTTTGTAGCTGATAGAAAACTAATGTATGAATAAATAGTGTCATTTGGAAGAATCTTAATTAATCACTCCACTGGAATGAGTCAACCAATGCAAACGCTAAAAAGAATTATAGTTGCTATCGTTTGTGTAAGTTTTACTTTCTTTATAGTCCTTATCTACTTGATTTCAGTGTGAAGTTGTGACATATCATGAGATGAGAATATCTAGACTAATGTATACAAACCTTTAACACCAGTTCTACAAATAGAACATTTTAAAGCTATATGGTTGTAAGCACATTGGGGACTATCTGTAGTTTGATTACATTGATGACAACTTACAACAAATTCTGAAAATAAAATAAAAAGTGCGTATACCATAGAAAATTAAGTTTTCAGGTTTTTTTTTCATGGCTAACTCAATAACAGATATTTTCCTAAAGGTGTGGACACATAAACAGTCGACAATTGTCAAGTTTATCGACAGGATTTATAATATCAAACACGTTTGATAATTGTCTACGATATTTTTATCTGTGTCAAAAAATCGGTGATTTAGACCATTCGTGTGCCGGCACCATTATGTCATTATAAAAAAACAAACTGAAATCCCTGTACAGTCTTTACAGCTACTCTTATTTCAAGCAAGGCACAAAACACAAATTTAAAATTTGAAGATGAAAAGAATCCATTATACTATGAATTCAATAATATGTGTGGTATGATGATGATTAGTTGTGAAGTCCAAGAATTGTAGCAATATAGATTGGAATAAATAGGAATCCACATCCTCACAAATATTCATCCATAAGATTCAGATACATGACCATTTATTCACTGTTAATTACATACCATAATTTCTTTCTGGTGGTGCAGGAAATGATATATACTTCATAATTAATGCTGATTGGTTAATTAATCCCCACTGATATAATATTTTAGCATATGCCAATTTATACTGATCATATATACCAGCTTTTGTAGGGTCTAACATCCTGAAATGATATTTTGTTGTTTCAAATTCAGCTAAGGTACTATTCTCAGAGAGGACTAGTTAATACTACTTTTAACATGTTCCACTGTATCAAACCCTACTCGTCTTTGAAACACTAAATATGTTTTCTTGCAATTAAAACCCCATCTTCACAATATCAAACTATTACAAACTGGTCTGACAACTTGACTTCTTAAGGCTCTTTTCTTGTATCCCAGAATACAAGCAGCCAGAATTGGTAAACAATTCTTATTCTTGCACAAATTTAACCACACCCACAAGGACAGTATATGTATGAATACAGTATTACACCATTGATCTTTGTCTTGATGCTTACCTGCTGTCTATTTCATACTGTAATCTTTCTCGATCTATATTTTCATCAATTTCATCTTCAATGATTCGAAAATCATCATAGGAATCAGACCAACTGTTAGATCTTTTATTTTTTACCATTGCTGTTTAGAAATATTACAAACTAAAATATTTTGATTTAATTAGAACTTTTAGAAACATTTTCTTTAATTCGTATGTAGAAAATGTCAAGCCTGATTCTATGTGATCTTGAGTCTTCCAGAGATGAAGGAGAGGCAATTTTAAGAGTCTTAAGGAGGAATTTTCCTGAATCTCTGACACTAGTTGAAATCTAAACAACTTCATAGAAATAGGCTAAGCATTTCCCAAGGATATGCCCAATGGTTATGTCATGTCAATACATGTCAAAATTTGGTTCTGCCAATTGAATCATCCTTTAAAATATTTTTTTAAATACACGAATAAATAATTATTTCATAAAGACAAGACTAGCAATCACAGCTTGCAGAAATTAGAAGGAATCATATTGTTATATTGTCATTTGTCCACATACATAGTGCTTAGAATTAAAGGGACAGGGTCGCCATTTTCGGGGTTTAATATTGGGTCTTGACTACATGTAAATAGGCTTTAGAAGTACTAGAAATAAATGAAAATTGCGCAATTCAATCTAGGAATTTTACTTTTTATTTCTATACATGTTTTTTTATATATATGACACCTCTTTTTAACAGGGCTATTTCAGGACACACATTAATTTGAAGGTTCAAAGTTTGACAGTAGGCTGTGAACACTATTACTGATCATCTTATTCCTGTTCTGAGACTAACGGATGACAAACCTGTCCCTTTAATATGGCTAAAATAAATTCAATCTGATACATTCAACAAAATTCACAAATTCAGATAGATGTGCAGAAATAAACAAACTTGTGAAAATGTTTCACTATCAATAACAATGTTTCTACTAGGTTATTTTATTATTCAAACAGATGCTGATCAAATATTGTTCATAATGAAAAACAATTAACCACTATTATTAAATTTGAGATAAATTTGATGCAAGTGATTTCCACACACAAAGTAGGTGCTTCAAACAAATTAATAAAAATTCATTGTACAATATAGTACCAATACATATCACTGAGATTATACAGTTTGATTACTTTAAACACTGTACCACTGCAATAGTTTAACAATTCAACACAGCTACGTTCCATTTCTAACAATAAATGTTTCCCACTGTCAAAGATATAAACCTACCTTGTTTAAAAAGTTCAGCAAGATTTGGATGAGATGCTACTGCCGATAAAGGGGCTGTTGCAGCCTGGGCTAGTGTAGGGAAGTGAAGTGTGCCCGCTGATAATTAAGGCAAGTAAAAGTTAACAAAATAAACAAAATCTTTCTAATTGATAAAAAAATATCTTGTAGAATAAACTAAAAATGACTTGTTTTAACTAAAAAGGATGAAGTTTGATTGAAGATGATGTGTCATAATGAAAAAATATTTTTACAGAAATTATAGTTTGAGATATTTAAACGTTTGAGAATATAAAATATTAACGAGTCTGAGCATGCTTCTATGGCCTAATAAAAATACAATAAGATACAATTTGCCTTCTGTGCTCTAATCAGTGTAAAGGGATAGGTCCTCTATATTTCTATCAGAATCTAACTTTCTAAAGTCAAGTATTTACTTATTTGGCAATTCTTTCCATTCTAGGATGACATTAATTATGGAATTTTCACGTTACAACCTAATTTAGAATTATCTCATCACTCGATTGGTGATAAAGAATTTTGTAATTAACATGAGTTGAGAGGTTCATGATTTCAATGCATCAAAATATACTAGAAAGCATACCATCAACAACACTTTGCCTTGGATGGGGGAACTTTGAATTAGCATTTTGCCAAAATGTATAAATTTAGATTTAGTTCTCAGTAACAAGGCATTATAGAATGCTCTTGACAAAAAAAGAGCGATAGAAATCAAACCTTGTCTGAGAATATTAATCAGAGCTTTGATGCTAAAATTTTTCACAGCTATTTTTATTTTTCATAAAAAAATGAGAATAAAAATTTGGTAGAGATTTGAACCTTGTCTATAACTGTCATATTTACAACAAACGTATCACCATTAAATTACTAGAGAACAAGAGGACCATATCCCTTTTAATTGTGTAGTTTGTTTTTTCTATATAGTGTATGTCTTACTACTTGAGAAGAACACAGTGTGCAAGGACTAACGTAGGGGTAGGGTTTGCAGAGATTTATATTGAGACCCACAACTTTTTTACCTACCGTTTATATTCTTTAACACAGGAGATCTGACACTCAACACATATAATCTAAATTTTGATGTTGATCATACATGAATATGCAATGTACAGTGATTGAATGATGTCACTTTTTAACAACCTTTCTCTAATTTGTCTTTGTCTTATATATTGTATATCAAACAATGTAGAAGATATATATGTTAAGCTAAGCAGAGGGAAACAGTAATACTGGTATGTAGAATAAGCAGAAATGTGAAATCAAAGTCAGATCATATCATTGTATATTATTTGTTGAATACTCAATCAAATTAAATCAATCTGATGAATGTAAGAGCAAGGATATAACATTCTCTGTCTGCCCTCAGAATCTGGCTAAAGACAAGGATAATGAACCAAAGACCAGATGATAATGACTTGCACTAGTCTTCAGCCAAGACCTTTACTGTTTCAATACCTTTAGCTAATTAAAGGACAACCATAATATTATTGAAAGAAATGGAATTTGTTTTATATCTTTCTGGCTTGAGTAGGACAGATGGTAGGATAAACTTCACTTACAACACTCTTATTTTATATCATAAATACTTCATGGCTAAATTGAAACATACATAATTGTGATTTAATTTTTGTTTTAAAAATGTTCAAATTGACAGTGAAACATTTATTCAATAGGAAGACAACATTGTCACACAAAATTAAAAAAAACTCATTACTATAAATTTGGAGTAAAAGAGAAAAAAAAGAGAAAAAAAAAGAAAAACACACCTCAAATATTGACTAAAATCAAACCAAATCATGCTAAACTGACTACCGGTAATACAACTATTTTCTTAATGGAATTTATATTTCTGAGCAAAAACTAAAAGGGAAAAATTCTACTAGCCTAATGTAATTACTCAACTGAGAAATCTAGTTTTAGTTTTAATGAATATTAATTCTATTCTGTAAGTCCTTGAATCACTTGATAAATTAATGGTCAGTATGCAGAAACTACTTGATGATTAAATACAGAGAAGGTTTTGGTTTAAGTCATTAATTTTTCTGGGAACCACTGTCGTCACAATTTATTTTCAAAACTTCCCAATTGAGATTATCTTATCATGTTCATGTATTATCATTCAAATAATGAATATCAGCACGTATAAAATTAACCTATTCATGAAACTAGTCAAAAGCACCTTCTACATGTTATAGATCTACTTAAGATTCTTTATTATTCTTATCAAAATTAGTTTACCTTAAGTATGCAAAACTTTGAAACTTATTGCGTTATTGTACTGACATGTTACTTTGCAATGGTGCTAATCAATTTTCTTTCATGTAAAAACAAACTCAAGATCAACCAAACTACCTCCTCAGAAAACCAAGCTATTGAATACGATACATATCAAAAGATAAAGACTTTAACCAATTTAAGAGAAGAAAGTTTGAGGGCAATATCGTATGACTATATCAACTAAAACTGGCTAAAATACAGCATTCACATGAAGAAAAACTAGTTATACGTGTGTTAATAAAATAAGATTAATAGCAAGCACTCTACAAGATATCTGGTTGTTAGGACTTACTCGTTTTGATTCCTTTTAGTAGATTGGTTACAGATGAAACAGTATGATAGGGATTATACTGTGGAAGAAAATGAAGATCTTTTAATTTACTATGATTATTGAAGAGTTCTAGAAGAAATCCCAGGGCAAGAGTTAACTAGCTCATACATAACACTACTGACAGCAATCCATATATGAATAATATGTGATATATTTCAATGATATTTATGCTCCTAAACTAACTTTTATAAACATCTAACTACACTATAATAAAATGTATGAGTTTTTGTTATCATCTATATATTTTCATGCCCAAACAAGCCTAAGTTGTATCTTGTACACAAGTGGCCAACAACCCTTTTTCCTCAGGTGGGAGATGGTTTACTGCTAACAAACAAACACAATCTTAAACATTTCATAAGTATAACTGAACTATTAGAGGGATATGATCAGTTGAAACATGAAATCTAAATAACTGGGTAAGAAAAACACGTCATCAATACTCATGTCCCATTAACTGGCCAGAAGTTACTGGTCATGAAAATGTGTGAGATTAGCTTCTAGATTTGAAAAGAGAAATAATCAAAATAAGATGACTTCAGTTTTCACATTTTTGCTACAAAACTAAGATATAGACACTACAGAACGGAAGACAAACAAAACGAAACTGAAAGAGAAATGAAGGACCAATGACCAAGATTTAAAAGATTTTCAATGATAGACCATAGTGTGTGTAAAGCTGTTAACTCTTGCTTCTACAGAATACACTATACCAACCTGCATATGTTAGCTGGAATAAGAAAGCAAGGTTTATCTCTGTCCGATATAACATAATAATCATATACAACATCACAATATTCTTATATTCTACATACATCATAGATTTTCTTACATATTTACAGCAATACTTGTGAAGTAAATCATTCAATCTATGTAGAATATAAGAACTTTGAAATAATAAATACAACAGTGAAGTATTAACAGGGCAGTGAGGGGGGAAGAAACTTACGTAATATATTCCAACCGCTATCTGCACTAGATCCTAAATACATGTAGTTTATTCCCACATCAGTCTAGTTTGAGGAAAAACAACACATTAATGGGAGCATGCAAATGTAAGCAAAAAAAAAGAGAAAAGTTAAGCTAGTTGGCAGCTCATGGAAATCAATCTGAATTATTAAAATTTCCAATCATATTCAATTATTCCAAGATGAGGTAAAGATTTTATAAATTAACAGCATCTTAATTTAACCAATGAGCAGACAACTATAAGAGGAAGCTTTTCTAATTTCTAAATCATCAAATTTATGCCCTATCCTACAGTTTGTATCAGATAGCTTACGGTATGCCCAATTTTTGTGAGAAAACTACAAAATTACAAAAAGAACATGCATGTGAATAATTTTGCCCTGTGTCTAGAATTAAATGATAGTACAAGGTGAATAGTAAAACCAATCCCTAAGGTCAAGTGGTTCTGTGTCTACTTCTTCAAATCCATGTGATAACAAACTCCCATAATTCTACTGCTTATTCAGCAGATAAAATATATGATATATCAACTTTAATATTTGTGAATATTAAAAGCTCAAGTAGAATAGAGTTTAGAGTTTAGCACTTTCAAATTATTCCATTTAAAGAATTAAGTCAATATATGACAAAGATAGATGAATCTTTAAATGTTAATAAAGATAAGCATAGCACTATTATTATAAACATAAATATATATCAAGAAAGACTCTTTCTAGTCTGACAGACTGTAACTTTGGTATATGAACTTCCAAACTAATTCTACTAATGGATTTTTCGACTTGTAAAAATCGGATGAGAATACAACAAACAATCAACCACAATCAAATTAATGTTAGATTTACAGCTGTATAGGGATATTTTGTAATTATAATTACTAACAGTTCACTAGTGTGTATAGGATAGTAAGTAAAAAGAGTCACAGTATATTAAAAGATCTGGATTTCATAAGTAAACTTGTCTTTCCTTTTCTTCATTAATTAATTGATGATCTCCTAGAGAGCTGCAAATCAGCATTGTTCTTCTTAAAATATTGGTAGATACCAATTTAATTGATAGATTAAGAAAAAACTACTTTATAGTCTTAATTGTTTAATTGTAAATCAATGCTCTTTGACTGTGGCTAATTTTCCCTGACTAAAAAAAAACATAATTCAAAAATCTTTTACAAACAAGAACTTACATTAGCAGGCACATATTCCATGGATGTTTTTGACACTGATCTGTGTGGTTTTACTGGTTTTTCTTTCACCCAAAACAAACAACATAACATAGCCAATGTCTGAATATCTTGTAAGTTACTATAATGTTGCAGTCTGTAAAAATAGATGAATTATTATCTAGCTACAGTTTCATCCAAGCTTCTTTCATTCAATTGTATATTTTTTGTCAATAGTCAAATATTACAGCTATGTGCAGCAGAATCAGTCTCAAGTTGCTGGTGATGTTTGATTGATCTGCAAATATGGCTGAAGCATACAATTCTAGAAAGTCAGGATATTTTCAGTACACATTGCATAATTCAACTTACATTGTCTCTAACTGAGGTCTACCAGTCATTGCCCAAGGAGGAGTAAACATATCATTTTCATCACATTCACAAGCTGATGGGTGTAAAACAGCTGCCAACATCCAGATCTTAAATACAAGTTTATATCTAATTCCATTTCTGTTATATTCCATAAAGAATTAGATTATCTACAATAAGGTTCTTCAACGTCAAACTTTAAGCTTAGCTAATTCCATTGATAAGGTTATGAGCAATGGAAAGCACAGGGTGAATAAGGCATAACTGGGACAAGAAGGAAGTTTTTAGAAGATGATTTGAAAGAGCATGTTGATTTATAAGAATCATTCAAGTCTGTAATGAAGCTGTATTAGGTTTTATAAATTCTTATTTCCAGTTTCAGCTACAAGTTTTTAAAAGCTTATATAAATCCATTACCATGTTTAAAGAAATGAATTTGTGGTTGAAAAGTCAGGTTGAATCAAGCATCACTCCAATAATCTTTACCTTTTGACTTTGCTTAAACCATGAGTATTTTATTTTTTGTAGTAATTGTTTGGTAATAATGAAAAGTACTCTAGATTTACCAGAAAAATAATCTTAAATTTAAATTCAAAACAAGATTCACTGTGACTCACCTGAACCAAATCTTTTCTACCAACAGAATCAGCTGCACTAGCATTAATTTTACACATCTCAGATATATTACTAGGATCCAATCTGCAGGAGAAATTAATACAAATAAGAACATTATTGTTGACTCCTTGCTCCAGTTCAGCGAGTTTGCTTATATCAGATAAAATACAATATGTTTATGTTAACGTAATTCCAAACAAGATGTCCTGATGAGGATTGTCAGCCATCTTGCCAACTGCATGCAATGAGATGCAATTAGCAAGTATTATAGCGGACTTGAATTGTTTATACTTTTACAAAGATTACACTAATCTTATGGAACAATTATACAGTTATATTCATTACTTACAAATACTTACATATATTTTTCTGCTAGTTGTTTGTGTATTGGCATTAAACTACTAATATCATACAGTCTGACAACTCCAACTTTAGGTTTATTTTTAATCTTTTTTCCTGTATCTTTTCTAGAACTATCACCAATATCTTTATGTCGTGATCTTGTTCTTATTCTCTGTTTCTAATTGAAATTTTTTTTTTCAGTAAAAAATCATTACATTATTCCCTGAAACCATTTTAAAACTCCTCGCACCTTAATCCTACAAGTTTTGTATATCAATTTAATATTCATATCAGATCATTTTAGTGCAGAAATTCACCTTCCAAAAAACACCTGCTTCTTAATCAAATTTCATTCAAGAAACTGAACATTCAAATTTTCAGGTGTTTTGTTTCAGCAATGCCTACCTTTTCTTTATAAGTATAGAAATTAGAAATGGTATATTCTAGCGGCGCTGTAGGAGGGGGACTACATGAAAACATTGGAACATAAGGTTCAGTCTGTGGTGTTTTCATTCTGTTATGATGATTATATTCTACCATGTCTGATAATGTTCTGAAATATAACATAAAACATTGATTCATGAAATAAATATCAGTATTCACTTTCTCTTTTCCTATATTAGCTTCCCTACTCTTTATGCTTCTGAGCCACAATAGAGACAAAAATATTCTAAAACCTTCCAAGTTCATCCAAGCAAGTTCAATTACTTTCAAAACCAAACCCAGATGTGTAAAAATATGTGTAAACCTTGGTTTAATTAGTTGTGACAAGTTTCAAGAACTATCTTTGTCAATTACTTGAAATCATTTACATAACATTAGTCCAATTTAAAATTAGTTTGATATCATCTCAGTTATAATTGACATAATACAAAATTATTCTTAAATTCTAAAATAAACCTCTTACTTGGGTGTCATTTCAGAAGCATTTGATTTTCTAAGGTCTGCAGGCCTGCCATACACAACTAAAAATCCTACAAAAATTAAACAAAAAAATAATATGTCAAGAAATATGCTCAATAGCAGATAATACTTTCTAGTTGCTGTTTTCTACTCTTAATTCTTACAGTTAAAAAATGAGATGAATTTGCCAGAATATGAATCCATACTAACCAGCAGAACAGAAACTAGCTCCACTAGTTCTAGGGAATGGTACACTAGAATCAGTTAAACCATAGGTAGGACCATATCGTGATGGTTTATAGATTTTAGGTTTCACTGATGGTTGTGTAAAATCAAATGGGACATCAGAATCTGGTGTTCTTCTTTCTTCATACTAAAAATCAATATGGTAATTTCAATCAAACAAAATAAGACATCCAGAACATACAGAGGAGAAAAATTCTGTCAATTCCTAGCAATTTCTTAGTTTGTTTCCTATTGATCAATCTTCATAATTGCATAAAGCTATTAAAATGGCCATCAATCTTTCACAATTCTAAATGACAGATGTAAATGAAAGTTAATACTTACAGTGAGAGAATCAAGAGACTGGATAAGATTTCTTAGACACGGTTCTAAACATATCATATTATTCTGTACATGTTTTAAAGATGTTTCTTTTAAAACCTTTAATAAAACATATGATCTACAGGCAATGCAAGTGTATCTTCTATATCAAAATTCAAACTTTACAAATGTTGTCTACAAAAATCTTTTTGGAGGGTCGTTTTGAATTTGAAAAAGGTCATAGCTCCTTCTGATCATAATCATGTTCATATTGAGCTGAATATAGCAAAATCTTCTGTAAGTTTTACATAGCTTTATATAGGGTGCTGGATATGAACTGGTGCATTTATTCAGAAAAATAAACAATTAAAAATCACATTGTCCATATTATGCCATGAATGCTAGCCATTGTTTATTACTTTGTGGCTAAAACAACCCAATAAAGTTGTGAAAGCAAGACCACGCATAGCATAACAAAAACATTTCTACACAAATGAATGAAGATTCAGTCCAATCTGACTGACCAGATCAATGACAGGTTACTCTACCTGTAGTAATTTCTTCTCCATACCAGGATCCAATGTTGTTGATCCGAACTGGAATTCAGGTGCTTCACCAAATGGATATCTATCAGGAAATGTTAGGTTTAAGACCACTGTTCTTTTACCACTGAAAGCTCTTACAGTACATTTTCTCTTCAGAGGATCTTTCTATAAAATCAGAATTTCTCAACTTTATGATTTTAATATAACAGTTATACAGAAAACAAAAGACACACGACAATTAATTTCTCACTGTGAATACTGTTGTTCTGGTTGTCACAATGTTCTGTAATGGGCCTTAACAGAATTTTCGAAATGTGTTTAAAAGGAGAGCAAATTATATATTGTACTAACCAGTTCGATATTGACATTTGGAATAGAATTAATTAACGAGAATTCATTAATTAAACTTTGTATTTGTTGAGAATTAATTGAAGATGTTGATGATGATTTAGACATTGTTTCCTCTAAGCTGGTACCATTAATACTACTAGTAATATCAGAACGATTAGGTAATGGTGACGAGAAGGAGGTTTCTTGTTCTGTTATTTCATGCCCACACAACTATATGAAATAGAAAATTAGAAATTGTCACAATCCTTGTTTTCTGACATGTGTTTTAGTTATAAAATTCTTTATCACAATCAATACAATATACCAAATAGACCCACCTTGCTGCAGCAAGATTAAAAACAGAAAAGCAAATCAAACAACACAAACTTAACTATATTACTAAACTGGTGTTATATTATTATTTCTGCACAATAATCTCATCTCAATTACAATAGGCATTGAAATATAAAATTTTGAAGAAGCCACCTACAATTCCAAGAAATGATTAGTTGTATTCCTCGGGAATTGACCTTCACTAGAAGAGAATATTATACAAACTGTCAAGATGAAATTGAAAGTAGTTTTGTTACAAGTTGACTGTATAAATGTGTGGTATATTCATTGTCAGAATAGAAATGATCTTTTTTACCTTTTTAAACTACATTGCAGATAGTAATCATCATTTATCTAGATAAACCAGAAGATCATTCTGTAAATTTATACAAAATATTAATTTATCTGATAACAGGTGTTTTAGAAGAATTCACCAAAAAACATGGTCTAAAACTGCATTCAACAAACTTATTGGTTTTAGCCTGAAAGAATATGTTGGTCGCCAACATCCTCCATGTCACTCTATAAGTCTTGGAGAGTGAGCCTTAAGGATTATTTTGAAAAATTATGGGTGGAAGAAAGATTCCTTGGCCTTGATGCTCCATGTCTCCGACGACAGTAAAAAGTTAAGGGAAAGAACTCTGAAACAAACGACCTTGTTCAGTCGTTGTGATCATTGAAAAAAAATCTATAGGTTTTTGTACGTTTTATTGTGTGCCCCATTTTATTTTTAAAAGAGATTATTGGTATTTTAAACACAAATTGAATCAGAAAATGTGAAGGAAAATATCTCAAAGCAAGAAAAGAAATATCAATTTGTTTCGTTTCATTTTTAAAATAATTTTGATTCCATAATATTGACGTCAACAAAAATTCCGTCAAATTGAATAGTTTCGTTTTGTAGTATGAAAATCTAAGATCCTTAAATTTAACAATGCTCATTTTAGCGCCTTTTTTTTCACTTCCGTATGCCGGTTGGCAGTGGTAGGCAGTTGGCTTTTAAAACCCACCCGTAAAATTCTGAACATATGTTGCATACTATTTTTTTAGTTTTGTTTGTAAATGAAGAAGAAATTGATAAGTCACCAAACAGTGAATGATAGAATGACACCACAAGTCATTACTGTGGACTGGGTTTAATATCACTCAGATAAGTCTGTGATACATGTAATATTCAGTCAATGATTCAATATCTCAACTGAACTCTTTTGAACTGATATCTGAACAGATCACCTTTTAAAACACTTTTTATCCTCAAAACATAATTCCTTACACTTCACTCAGTTTTAATAAGATTTCAATGGATATCACATTAGAAAATTAGTAAGCTATACCTTATTTTGACTGTAAACTCTACTGTCCACAATCTAAACACATAAAAAGTAAACAAAATACTTTCATACAACATGAATAGATATTGAAATCATAAAGTATATCAATAGCTTGTACTTGAACTGTTGTTAGTAAAACTGACTACTAATTACTATAACAATATAGTCAAACCTACTGTAACATTAAGCACTGACATGCTACCTGATTCTATTCACTATCAATATTTCAACTTGAAATAACTTAATAGGATTAATCAGTTTAACCAGTCAACAAGGTTATTGTTTAGTATTCAGGTGCACTCATGCAGTATGTTTCCTACTGATAGATAATATTCAAGACTTGTGAATATAAACCTTCATCAATTTGCTTAACTTGCTGATGGAGATGAAACTGTGTTTTTTTTAATCAAACAAACTGAAGTAATCTTTTTTGAAGTTTTATCATGATTTTTAACATTGAAATCAAATTAATTCAGTGAACTGTAATGATAGAATTCAGTTTTATCTGGTGTGAAAATATGGAAGTGTTGTACAATATCTATTTAAGGATCATAGGTTATAGAGTCACAAATTAAATTGGTTCTGAAAATCATATCAATACTTAAAAATCTATTAGTAACACGTTAAAATCTAACATATACTGAAATAAGGTAAGTTTGATAATTTCGCACATCAATGAAGAACATTTAATTCTATTTTATTGAAGGTGGGTAGGTTGCAATCCCAACAATATTATTGTATAATCAACATGCAACTAAAGAGAACTTGTAGAATACGAACAGGAAAATTTCTATAGTGTTAAACCACCATGACTTTTAAGAAAAGATGTATTATGACTACTTATAACATGATATCAGCAATTTCCTTTCATCTTTTCCTTGTATTAACAGGTGGGAGGCGCTTGGACTTTGTATAAATTGTTTAAATCAAAATTATAGCATGATTTACTCTGTAATTGTATAGAGACAGGGGAGTGACTATAGTTGTTTGCCCAGATCATCAATGATATATTAGCCCCACCCTCAGCACGTGCTATAACTACAAAATAAATTGTATTCATGTCACTTAGATGTTTATGTAATGTAAACAAACCCATGATTGTGATGTAACAAGCACCACTGGTTTTAGTCTGAAACATCTGCCTCTATTCCAGCCTCTGATTGATATTTTGACAATTGTCAGCTGGAGTAGAGTCAGAAAAAAGGCCCTGTTAAATGGGGATTTTAAACGCCTCCAAAGATGCCTTTTCTTCTAACATTATATTGAATTACCTTTACGATGACTGTAAATTAATGTTGAGCATCACCGTAACTTTCGTTTAGTTACCTTTGAACTTTTGGCTGTGAGATCAGTTTTGTTAAAAATCGACAAAACTGAAGACGCAACATAAATGGTATAGGGAGAAAATTATGGTATGACTGAACTAAAAAAATATTCATCTTTCTAAATATATCTGAGTTTTGCTGATCCAAGGTATCTGAAAAGGTTTTAAAAACCCCGCACCTGTGGAGATGCTGAAAGTCCCCATTTATCAGGATCTATTTTTTTCTGTCAGAACACTCACAAAAACTGTCCAAATAGCTATCAGAGGCTGGAATAGAGACAGCTGTTTCAGTCTACATTGGATTATATACCAAAATACAGCATTTAATGCATGTGCAATAGTTATTACCGGCAATTAGTGTCAGAACTATAATTAATTTATGGCACGTTATCATTCGTTAACAGATTTAAACTTTTACTTATACGAATTGTGTAGATGATCTTATCTGGACAAAAATATGACGATATCATGATAACTACCATATATCAGGAGATGGCGATATTTCAGTAATGTTGTAATTAGGCAATATTACTAACAATATAAATACCAGTATTTATGGTGATAACGATATATCACCCAGCCCTAGTTTCTTAATTGCAAGATTGCCATCTTGTCACCTTTCATGAAATGTAGTTCATATATCTTGATTTATTGGGTAAGAAAGAAACAAACAACTAGGATAACAGTAAAGGATCCTTCTACCAGTTGGTCCTTGATCTTTCCAGGATTGTCTGTAACCATTTACAGCTGAGTCGACTGCAATTATCAAGAATCTAAGTTGAGGCCTTGCTATATTTCGTGGATAGATGTTAAAGGGACAGGAAGACCAATCATACTTCTGTCTCAGAAACTGGAATTTTTATTAAGCTAAGCCAATCAGCAATAGTGTTCCCAGCTCAGCATTGAAATTTGAGCCTTCAAATCCATGTTAAAAAGACGACTAATCAATTTAAGACGCTCTGTGACATATAGAAAAGACATATAAAGATGTAGATGATATATGTAGATACAATGGAGTAAATTGTGGTCTTGTCCCCTTCTGTGGATTGTAAATGATATATGTAGATACAATGGAGTAAATTGTGGTCTTGCCACCTTCTGTGGATTGTAGTTGATATATGTAGATACAATGGAGTAAATTGTGGTCTTGCCCTCTTCTCTGGATTGTAGTTGATATATGTAGATACAATGGAGTAAATTGTGGTCTTGCAACCTTCTGTGGATTGTAGTTGATATATGTAGATAAAATGGAGTAAATTGTGGCCTTGCCACTTTCTGTGGATTGTAAATGATATATGTAGATAAAATGGAGTAAATTGTGATCTTACCCTCTTCTGTGGATTGTAAATGATATATGTAGATAAATGGAGTAAATTGTGGTCTTGCCCTCTTCTGTGGATTGTAGATGATATATGTAGATACAATGGAGTAAACTGTGGTCTTGCCCTCTTCTGTGGATTGTAGATGATATATTATGTAGATACAATGGAGTGAATTATGGTCTTGCCCTCTTCTATGGATTGTAAATGATATATGTAGATGCAATGTAGTAAATTGTGGTCTTGCCCTCTTCTATGGATTGTAGATGATATATGTAGATACAATGGAGTAAATTGTGGTCTTGCCACCTTCTGTGGATTGTAAATGATATATGTAGATACAATGGAGTAAATTGTGGTCTTGCCACCTTCTGTGGATTGTAGTTGATATATGTAGATACAATGGAGTAAATTGTGGTCTTGCCACCTTCTGTGGATTGTAAATGATATATGTAGATACAATGGAGTAAACTGTGGTCTTGCCACCTTCTGTGGATTGTAATTGATATATGTAGATACAATGGAGTAAATTGTGGTCTTGCCACCTTCTGTGGATTGTAAATGATATATGTAGATACAATGGAGTAAATTGTGGTCTTGCCACCTTCTGTGGATTGTAGTTGATATATGAAGATAAAATGGAGTAAATTGTGGCCTTGTCCCCTTCTGTGGATTGTAAATGATATATGTAGATACAATGGAGTAAATTGTGGTCTTGCCACCTTCTGTGGATTGTAGTTGATATATGTAGATACAATAGAGTAAATTGTGGTCTTGCCCTCTTCTATGGATTGTAAATGATATATGTAGATGCAATGGAGTAAATTGTGGTCTTGCCCTCTTCTGTGGATTGTAAATGATATATTATGTAGATACAATGGATTAAATTGTGGTCTTGCCCTCTTCTATGGATTGTAAATGATATATGTAGATGCAATGGAGTAAATTGTGGTCTTGCCCTCTTCTGTGGATTGTAAATGATATATTATGTAGATACAATGGATTAAATTGTGATCTTGCCCTCTTCTATGGATTGTAGATGATATATTATGTAGATAAAATGGAGTAAATTGTGATATATTATGTAGATTCAATGGAGTAAATTGTGGTCTTGCCACCGTCTGTGGATTGTAGTTGATATATTATGTAGATACAATGGAGTAAATTGTGGTCTTGCCACCTTCTGTGGGTTGTACTTAATATATGTAGATACAATGGTGTAAATTGTCTTCTTGTCCCCTTCTGTGGATTGTAGTTGATATATAGATTTACAATGGAGTAAATTGTGGCCTTGCCACCTTCTGTGGATTGTAGTTGATATATGTAGATACAATGGAGTAAATTGTGGTCTTGCTCCCTTCTGTGCATTGTAGCTGATATATTACGTAGATTCAATGGAGTAAATTGTGGTCTTGCCACTGTCTGTGGATTGTAGTTGATATATGTAGATACAATGGAGTAAATTGTACTCTTGCCACCTTCTGTGGATTGTAATTCTTTTCCACTGTCCATCGTTAGCATTTATACATTTACATACATGGGCACAGGTTTGCAGCCTCAGTCTCTTCTGATATATGGATGACAAATAAAAAATATTGCTTATGACATTGAAGATATCAGTTATCTTGTGACGTAAAAGTCAGTGATCTCATAATTTCTGCTATTTTCATAACTTACCTTAAACAGCCATGTCATATGTATTTTAAATTAAATAGTGCTCAATACATCACTTCTAGAGTTGATTCCTATTATATGGCTACAAAGATTCTTGAAGCATCATGATCAGATAACAACTGTAGTCTCTATCGTGCCTCTATCAACCCAAATTTGACGCATTGTTACTATGTCAAGGGCAATAGCTTCCTAACCATTCATCCGATTATCACCAAATGTGAACTTGACTGAGAACTTATCAATATTTACATGCATACTATAGTTCCAAGATCGTATAAAAACTGTAGTCTCTATCGTGTCTACAAGAAATCTGAACTGACGGACAGATGAACCGACAGAAAGGGGGAACGTCAATATATGCCCACATGGAAATTAAAACCAAATCATGACACAATTTCTAATATACTTGAGAATTCTGTATCATTTGTTATTAAAGCAAGTTACTAAATAATTGTGCTGATACACAATGCATCGATAAGAGAGAATGAATGTCAGTCCATTGATTCGATTTACCTTTTGTAAAGCTGGATCAATTCTCCACATTCTTAACGTCTGATCCCGAGACCATGTGACTAGTTGATGATCTACCTCTCCTAAATGAGATAAAAAAAAAACAAAAAAACAATTGCATTTCAATTCATAGACAGAGAAGTTCCTAGCAACAATTTATTAAGTGATAATTTGTATAAGATGTGGCCAAAACCAACAAATTCATGTCCTATTCTTAAAACATCTATAAAGTTCTTACCTACAGGTTGTTTACGCCATTGAAAATCTAATACGACATCCTTATGACCCAGAAAGGCATGTACTGGTTGAGTATGATTTTCAATATTCCACAAATATAGACTATTTTCACCACGTCTTAACTGTGGGACTACACCAGTTACTAATCCAGTACCAAATGGCTAAGATAAAATAAAACATCATTTAAAACCAGTGTTAGTACAGAATTCGGACACTCACAACTTAGATGGATACTAAGACTGATATTTAAAACTCCTGTTTGATATTATTTCAAGGATGTCAAATATAACACAGAAACAATCTATGAACTATTACCCTTAACATCAATTTCTGGAAAAAACGATTTGCGTACTAACGATTTAAAATCATTTCCAAAATTCAGGTGATCATCCTCAGTTTGCTTCAAACACACTAACCAAATTTGAAAATATTTTGTCAAAACTTTTGGCCATTAGGATAGACAAAGAGCTGGGACATAGTAAACAGTCAAAAATCTAATTTAGTTGGAACAGTTAACTTTGTGAAATTGTTTGTGATTTTTCTAGACCTACTATATTTTATCAAAAGGGTTATTCCTTATTACATCAATAAATTACTTATTATGCATGTCAAACTCATTCTAAATATACTAATAAATTGACTGATATTGTAACCGTGAAAAACAATGAATAATAATTTAACTATATAAATGTGTTAATAGATGGGAGATAATTGTATATAAACTAACTTACTGTATATCTGGCTCTCCACACTGGTACATCTTTTAAACTTATCATACCTTCTGATCTCTGAGAATTCTTCCAATTCCAAAACTTTTGAGACAATAAGAGATAAGGAAATATTCAAAACACTCTGGTCTATTACAGTATAACCAACCCTGGCTAGAAATACTCATTCTATTAACAAGACCTTAGCTTTATACCATAGCATTAACTGAACCTATTATTTCCAGCTTTAGCTAGAAAATGAATGTCAACTTGTCATCTACCAACCAACCTAAATATTTGCTTTAAAAGATGGTATAACTTAATTTCAGACATTTGTAAAAATTTACAGAATAAAAATTTAACATCCTATTTTCCAACAATAAAACAAACACATACAAAGTCATCAAAGCCTGTTGAAGTTAGTAACTGCCTGTGAAAAAACAAACTGGGAGAAAAAACAATCTCAAATGGTATGAGTTTGTTAAATTGCAAAGAACCAGTCCTTGTTTCTTAATTTTAAAAAGTGAATAAAAAACTGAAATTAGCCTGTTATAAGTTTTGTGTGGAATACCACAATATGTGGTAAATAATGTTTGACAGATTGTACATGATGTTTTAAAAGTAGCTTTATGAACACTTACTCTGACGCTACAATCTTGACTAGCTGTGACTAAATGATCTTGACTAAAGGGACTCCAATCTAACCCATGTATTTTAGATAGATGAGCTGCTATATAAGTCAATGGCATATTTCCTTTCTGAAAACAAAGATACATTCCCATGATAAGAATTGTTACTGTAAGAAATAATGTACCCATTGTAAAAATGTTAAGTGTTAAATCATGACCATAACTGACATTAGCATTAAACTAAACTTGCCAATCCTGAGAGACCAAATAGCAAATAATGTTTATTTCTTTACTTACTCTTGGGTCCCATATCCTTAAATCACCTTCATGTGTGGTAGCAAACTGATTATTGACAACTTTATTCCATTTCACTTGATATGCTCCAGCTGTAAGAATAAAACACAACGTGATTACATATAATATAATGAAAAATAGACAGACATACAGGGGTGACGACTATATACACTAACATTAATGTGTGGGCGTATAGATTCAAATAAGAAAAACTAATTTTGTTTAAGGCATGTTGTCTGTGATGTTCAAAATGAAAATTCATTCAGTATTGACATTATTTTGCTGATCAAAATGAAATAATCCATCACGCTATTCATGTATCCAAAAAAAATGCGAAACAAACTTACCAACTGTTTGAAATGATGCTATAGGTTTCTTGGGCTCTCTGAAAAAAAAACATTAAGCTTTTATATGATATAAATTTTTCTGAAAATCTAAAGATATTCAATGAAGCCAAAAACAAAACCTTAATTTAATCATGAAGGTATAATTCATAAAAATATAAAAAAGATGAGTATTTACAATCTGCATTTTTCAGAATAACATAAACCTACAGGACAGCAAAATCATAATACCTTTTGATATTGAACTATAGTCAACCACACATATTTTTGTTTATCTGAAAACAGTCAAAACATAACCAGTCCATTATATTTTCAAGGGTATAAAAGGCAACACATTTAGAAGGTTTGACTAATTCCTCAATTGAATATGAATATGGAACAGTATTTAATGTAATAGTATATGCAATTTGGTAGTACACATTATAGAGTATTTCATCCCGATATTCTAATGCTCATTCTGAAGCCATTCAAAAATATTGTACTATTCATTTTTTTATTTTTAAAGGCGGTCAATGGTAAATATCTATGATATGGACAGCAAAGGGGAATTGGGCACCTTCATACTATTCTGCAAGAGGAATGGAAGAATTTTCTTAGGACTGACAAACTCTCAAATTTGTTCTTTATTGTGAATAAATCAAGTTCAAACCCTCTAAATGTATTATCTTTTACACCCTTGAAAATATAATGGACAGGTTGTGATTCTGTTTTGACAGTACCTGGATGAGGAAAAATACCTATGTTTGACTATACCTGCGTTTATATGCTTCAGAAGAAATCCCAAGAACACAACTGATTTATGCTGTGAAAGAATGCTCTGAAATCTAGATCACCAAGTATCACCTTCCTTCAAAAATTACTGTGGCCCACACACAGACAATGAGTGCTTGTATCAGTCGAAGATTCTAATGCATATTTCCCTTAATGGCGAATGAATACATGTACATGTTATTTGACCTACATAAACCAAACCATCTTAATGAGCTGGGAAACACTACTGTTATGTGATAATACTATACCTAATATCCCATAAATAAGAGAAAGTATCAACTGAACAGGATGCTACAATATTCACATCAAAAGGAGACCAATCAACATCGCTGGAAAATCAAACCAAGATATTGTCAATTATTTTTCATTACAACATCATGCTTATCCCAAATTTAAGAGAAATTCATTGTCGCAAGATTACTCTACATGTATCATTTGATTTGAATGGATTTCCAACATAATGATAGAGAGGATTTTGAATTGATGACTTTAACTCAAAGGCCATGGTCATGGTTACGTCCTACTTTTCTGCACCATGTGGGCTTATGAAGACGGCAATACCATGCAGAGTGCAATTTTGCTAGGACAGCCGCATTAGCCTGCTCTTTTTTCGATTCCCAACTGTCGAGGGATCTGCACAGCCTGTAGCACACGGGGCCACGGTTTATTGTCCCATCCGAACGACTAGACGCTTTTTCCATGTCAGCCCCTCTCACCTGCATCACTGACAAGGGGACACCGGGTTGAAATATCCGAAGGTATTATCTCGACCTATGCCGGGATTGAACCCTGGACCTTCAGGTTAGCGAGCAAGCGTCTAACTCACTGAGCCACCGCGCCTCCCGATTAAGAATGAAGGTTTAACATCCAAAAACAGGTTAGTGAGCAGAACAAATGCTTTCTTCATGTGAGTGAAAAAACTAACCATATACCTGACAGTTCTAGAGTGAGCTTTTAGATTACATATATGATCTGCTTTGCTACCATTCCAAGTTAATATATCTAATCTCTGATTGGACTGAAAATATAAAGATATTAAAACATTATTTTACAAAATGGCAGATAAAATGCTTAACAAAATTACGTTGAGAGGAACTTGATTAAATGACTCATATTCAAAGTACATGAATATAAGCACTACAAAATTAATACCAATAATTAAACCATTTGAACTGTCCTAAAAACAATCAGTGGAGTAATATAGAGTCCATATCTTGTCACCTATAGCTCTATTCAAAGCTACTTACTGCAGTTACAAAGTTTGAAGCATGTGAAGCATGAGGATTCCACTGTACACAGCTTATTTCCCATTTACTTTTTCTGGCTACTTTAACCACTTTCTGGGTATTGTTCAAATTTACTAGAGCTAAAGCTTTTCGTCTAAAGAAAAAAAACAGTAAATATAATATCAAATATCAATAATGGCCAATAATGCCCTAATTTATGTTTAAAAGGTTCAATATTTAGTTTAGTATGTACCCGGTATATGAGAGTCACCTTAATTTCTAGAAAACATTTCCTAGAAGTAGAGTTCATGCCTTCTATTTGCATCAATTTAATTTCCTGTCTGACATTTGTGAATCTGATAACTCCAGGAATAAACTGAGTCATTTTTGAATTTCTTAAATTTGAATGATGTGAAGCAAGATTTAAATTTAATAGGATACTTACCCTGCTAATAAAACCCATTGTCCGACACAATCTACACCCATAGCACTGGCCTGAAATTGATTGCAATTCCATATAACACAAGTATAAATACAGAAACATATAGCAATAATAAGATGATTCGAAGGCGACTTTGCTTGCTTACATGATTGTATCAGACACTGAAGTCTGTATGAAAGTTGTTTTTTTTCCTACATTTTACACTATTTATGTCAAATGCCATTTTAGTTTTTCAGTATGAAATTAACAGAGATCATGGTACATATTCATTAAATAAGTTATTAAAATGAAATGTCAGTGTGGAATAATTCAAATTAACCTGTAGATCTTTGTATTCTTCCACAAATTGCTCTGAGCTCCATAGTGCAGCCATTTTGTTTAGACTCGAACGTCAAATATGACATGTTGAAACTTTTAAAACGACTGGATAATCACAAAATTACCATTATTATCCTTATCAATCCACCCCTGACAATATAGCAAATATATTGAAATTCAGCTATGAAATATCAGGAAATGGCTGTTTATGTTTCTTTAAAAAAAATTGACTGCGAATTCAATTCAATTCCAGGTTTTTCCAAACGATGAAAAAATCCAATAAAGATTATTGATTTACAGCAAGGGTAAATAACTCTGTATGTCACGATGACACAATAGCAATCTGTGCTAAAGGTTGTTTAATCTACATTTTCCTCGATCAGAGTGCAATTTTTATAAATTAAACTGCCAATTAATACATGTTCTTTAAAGACATGTTGCGTTCTAGTACGTTTTTTGACCTTGCAAGACAACCTGTCTGAAGACTAAAGGGGGGCAACTCATTATTGCAGTCTTAAATGGGTGTGACAAAATTATATTAATTTATTACACCTTATTAGCATAATTTATTCTGTATTCCATGCTGACCTTGCAGACTGTCTGTGTTTGTCTGTGATTTTTTATTCTCATTCCAGATACCGCTATTGTACTTTCCAGGTTATTTTGATGAGCATTAACAAATTACAGACAGCCCATATCAGAAAGTGAAAGCTGAGAAAAACCCCCATTCCAATCCAGAAAAGATGGATTTACATGGCTGAGATCAGAAGCCAATAGAGAGTCAGGGCATAAAACAGAACAAAATATAAAATTCTAATATTTTATTTTCGGTTGTTTTAAGAGAGACAATAATACACTGACGTTACTGTGGCTCCTTCTAATGTCCACTAATACAATGTTAGCAAGTTCCAGACTTTTAAAAGACTAGAATTATAGTGGAAACCAAAGAAAGTATTTATTTGAAATAAAAATTTTAAATTGCGGGTTACAACTGGCAGTTCTTTTTTTTTGCAATGATGTACAAAAAAAATCATCCCTTTGAGAAAAGAAAAGAAAACAAAAGTATATATGATAATGGTGATGAAATAATTTCTAAAAGATGAAAGTTGAGTACATACATTGAATGTCTTAAGACAAGTTATTAATGCTTCACATCCTCTTTAGGTCACAAAAAACTTGTTTGTTTTCAAAATCATTTATTAAACAGGACAAAAGTTCTATAAACATTGTTAATCAGCCTTGTATTACTATCTCCCTAATGACAACGTTTGCCTTTATTGAGCCTACATAAGGATACGAAGCATCAACCATGTCAGTGTGAATACATCAAATTATTGGACCATAAAACAATCATTTCTTAGAAGTTGAAACTGTACATTCATGCAACAAGTTTTCTCAATAAAACATAAAAATGAAAGAAAGAAATTGTTTGAAGGAACTACCAGTAACTCCCTCCTCGCACACATACATAGCATGAATAAGATGATACAAACTACAAGTAGTTAGATTAATACAGACTTCAAAAAGATCTAAGTTTCATAATGTTCATGCCCTTCATTTCATTTGAACTCAGCCCCTGCCCCATTCAATCCTGTACCATCCCAATCATTAGATATCTAGATCAATATACTAGATACTAGTCATAATAATTACATCAAAGTTAAGCAGCAAACTTTACCAAAGCCATACAACTAGTATTTTAATAGTGAGAATAGTTTATTATATTTCATAGTGATAATAATATCACAAGTATGAACATGTGCTGATAAAGCTTAATTGATTCTTATATATCTCAAATATTGGGAAATTTAAAAACTCAAAATGATGTTACACAAACAAGTAAAACTAAAAAAGTAACTATTACACAGACAAAAAAGCAAAAAAATAATTCTAATATTCCATGTGGCCTTATCATTGTAACCAACATAGAGAATTTATTTTATAAACAAAAAGTTGATAGAAATCACAGTTAATATGATTCCCTGACAGTTGCCAAATTACTTACAAATGAAAGTTTAATTAATTCAATCTTTTGTTCATCACGAAGAACCCTGTGTTCTATGAAAAGATCAACAAAAATAAACTTTAATATTCAATCTACCCTGTTCTTTCTTAGCAGTCACATCACTTACCATGTTTTAAAAGTAAAAAAAGGATTTCATTATAAAATAATCTTTGGAAAATATTTGAAAAATTCTAGACAGTAAAAAAAATGCTTAAATGTCCCCCTTTAACTTCTCTCAATAATCTACAGATAAAAAATAAACAGATAGAAATCACACAAGATATAAAATATGTCTAAAATAGAAATAAAAGCCATGAAAGATCTTTGCTCTCTAAAATATAGATGACCAGTGAAGTTTGATAAATAATAATAAATTATAAATAGACAATTACAATAAACAAAAAATAAAAAATGAAGTACTAGAATGAGGAGTATAAATCTAACATGAATACTGATATTATTATTATACTTAAATTATAAGTTTAGTAATACAATAAACTTAGATATCTATATTATAGTCAATGTTTCTTTCTGAATCATCCTTAACTTGATCTTTCAATTTTGCTATTTGAAATTATATAGCATACACTGAATATTGTAATCTATGACAGTTTCAGATATATCTGCAGAAACAAACATGGCTTTTTAAACTAAAATAACACATATTGCACATGAAGTAAGTAATGAAAAACCTACATAAAAACATTAAAAGTGAATCACATGAGTTGGTATATTGAGACAATTCATAAATAAAATGCCAAAATGGATGTTCATTATGACAGTAGTTGAGCAACTTTTTGAAAACTCTTTGGATTATTTCAATTGCTCCAAATTGAACTTTGGACCCAGCAATCTGATAATACCAAGAGTGTTATACAGTGATTAGTTTGTTCTGTATTATAATTATATCATTATTATGCTTGTTGAAATAAAGGTCAAGATAGAGTAAATAGGATGAAAGGGGAGGGGGATTAAAATACATATTATTATTAATAATTATTATTATTATATTTACATTGTATATCTAGCAATTATAAATAAAACACACACAAGAATATTATTAACAGTTTTCACATTCAATTAGAACAGCAAATCATTAACCACAAACAAATTATAAACAAGCATTATTGTTTGAAATTTCTGTTTTAAAGATAATTCTCTAAAACAAAGCAGATTATATATCAATATTTATATAGTATATTATGGATAAAATCCTTCCTCAAGACTAATAAACTCTAGAGGCGAATTCACAAAGTACATAGTTACACTCACTTCACTACAGTAGAAGTTGAAAAGATATAGCATAAAAACATCTGCTGTTACTATAATGCTTTGTGTGATTTATGGTTTCAGATATAGTACTTATATCACAATAACTTACAATATTGTGATTGATGACTTGCTGTACGTATAAATAGTTTTTTTTGAAAATCATAACATACAATATACATTCATACATTTTATCTTGTACTTAAAATGGTATATTGTGCAAGTACACTTGACGTAGTAGATATACCGGTACTAGAATCTACTGGTATACAATTAGCAGTATGCTTTAACCTATTATATATATATATATAATAGAAACGCATTTCATTCAATGACAAAAAGTACATGTTATCAAGAAAAAAAACATATACCAACATTTAAAGCCTCAAAAATTGAACTTATGTTGAAAATTCACCAGATATATTTTCCGTTTATTGTCTGTAGATGGTTGGTACAATTGAACTGTGCTTTACTACGCTACTTTAACTTTGCATTTGTGACTGCTTAAATTTTCTGTGAATATTCTTACAATTTTAAATCAATCTTTTGAAGGCACAGAAAAATTTTATCAATCGATCTCAGTACAAGCAAACACAGTCCCTGTGCTATGTCTTTTGTTATCAACCTATCTCATTTAAATCTACATCAAAAGAAAAAGTGACAAAGTGAGACGTTGAGCAGATGCAGATTAAAGTGCATAAGCACATATAGAAAATTATCGGAGAAAAGCATTGTGTTGTTACAATCACACCTGTTTTTTTTTTTACATTTGTCAGCCTGCACAGGAAGTGAACATGTGCCTGCACATGTTATGCAAGAATGTGCAACATTAGCTAGGCCTTGTGTCAAGATGCATTTAGGTGTTCAGTTCCAGAGATAAATTTGATATTTGAATGAATTTTAGTCCCCAAATTTTGTTATCACATACATAAACATAAAATATCACTTAAAACCAGGGAAGGTTAACAAGGCCATATTCTTCCACCTTGAGATCTTCAGTAAGGATATCAGCTGTGGTTTGTTCACAATGACAGGAATATAAGAATATCTCTATAACAGTCCGATCAGATCAACATTGAATTGTTCTTTGGAAATCAACAGAAGAAAATTTGGATCCGAGTGCTGTTAAAGCTACAGAACATAAGAAATCATAAATATAAGATATACACTAATTAGAGAAAGGCGGCTAGTTCTCTCCAATCATCAGTTGTTTCATAAGAAAAAGTATCCTTTTCATTAACAGTCGCCAACAATCAGAATGTGCAAAACACAAGGCGCTATTTAAAGCATGATACGTTTGAATAACATTAGGCATGGGTCAGCATTGACCTATGACCTATGAGCTTTGAATGTTACATATATTGCACATGAAACAAAACTTAAACAGACTAAAACAATTGATATACTGGTGTTAAAAACACCAGCATGCTCTATGGAACACCAATATAGATCAAATTTGCAGCAAGAAAAAGTCAATACATATATAAGTGTCATGTCTTCAAATGAAATAAATTTTCCGTTTTCCTGGTATATATATTTAGGTTTCCTTATCCTGAATGAGTCTGTATTAATACGTCAAGAAGGACCTGAATATTCTCCCAAGAATAATGGCATTAAAATTGCACACAATATGAGCAGAGACATTTTTGCTTGCTCTCTGCCGAAAGTCCAATTGAATGTGGATAAGTCACAGACGGCACGACATTGCACAAACAGATACATAGTTCTCATAGTGTGTAGACACTTTAATACAAGCCACATCCTCTCAGATTGTTTGCAATGATTACATCGGTTACGGCATCAAACACAAACTGAATATTGTTAGTATCTGTAGCACAAGTTTGGTGACAATAAATTTCCTTCGTTGAACTCTTGTTCTTAGCTTCAAATTGCGCTTGAATATATGCAGCTGCTTCTTCATAAGTTTGTTTACCTACAAATATATTTTACCATGGTTATTACTTTAATAATCATCAACAATAAATCAATTCCTCAAGAAATCTATCAAAAAGTATTTATTTTTCAAAATCAGCACTTCATAATAATTGAATAAAACAAATAAAAAATATATTGCTTATATTGTAAATAATCCAGAACTAATTAATATTAACAAAGCCTACCTGTATATTCTCCAAAACATATAGTTAATGGAGATTTTTTAATCTTTTCTTCAAACAAATCTTTCTTATTTAGAAATAAAATTATAGATGTATCCGTAAACCATTTGTTATTACAAATAGAATCAAATAATTTCAAACTTTCTTGCATGCGATTCTACAAAATATAAAGAATAACATTTGTTAGTTAATATATTCTTTAGAATTATAATCATACAGTGTATGTTAGCTCCTGCATTCTTAAAATATCTCATATCTAGTTTTTTTTTGAGAAAATTACTATAAATGAAATTTACTATTTAGTTCAAATTCCCAATGATGCAAATCAACCATCATTTCATATTTCTTGTATTTCTATTTTTTTTATTCCCAAAAATTTAATTTAAGATTTAAATCAATGATTTCTATTTCCGTATAATTTTTAAAAAATATACAACTATCAATTTTGAAGACAAATTTTTATGCAGATAATTTTCTTATCTATTATTAGGACATTGGATCAATTTTAATATAAAGTAATCTGTTCCTCTGACATCATTTCTCTCTCTTATTTTACATTGATCATTCCTTTGACATTTTTCAGGTACAACAGTTTGATAGTAGTTGAAAGCAAATACAATCTCAAATGTTAACTGGGATTTTGTGTATTCTGATTAATTTGAGTCGAGATGAGTTTCCTGATTGTCTGACCAACAAACTCTATTTAATTGAAACCTCACAAAGTAATGGGAATATTAAAGACTGAAAGAATATAATTCTTAATTTCGAAAATACAAATCATGTATTAGTTGTTATGCAGACTCGATTCAAAAAAAAAAATCTTACAATTTTTTTTGCTTTTAGATTTATTTTTAACATGTCTGTCAGACTCTGCTAACCCTTAGAATATAAATATATTTAACTAAATAAAAGGAGGACAAGAAGAAATATTCTTACAGTTGTTTCATCTTCATGTAAAACCTGATCATATTCACTCATAGCTACACAGAATATTATAGCTGTAACATCTTCAAAACAATGTATCCATTTCTTTCTCTCAGACCGCTGTCCACCAACATCGAACAATCTACAAGTGTACACAGAATCGCTTATTCACCACTGTTACAACAACAAAAGAGCATTTTCAGAAAGGAAATAAGATGATAAGAGTTTGATATTCGACTTTACTGGGCCTGACCACACAGGCAGATTTACTATGAAGAAATTAACAATTAATTTGTATGAAGAAAATTCAGAGGTCAACAAAGTACCAGGAATACAAGATTCTGAGCCGGTTTTATGCCCACACAGAAAATTAGTTTAGACTTATTATCAAAAGGTAACAAAATTTGTAAACTTACTTGAAATTTAAATTCTTAAAGGAGAAGTGTACTTCTACAATACCAGTTGTTTTAACTCTAGTTCGTAAGATATCTTGTTCTGTAGGCATGTAATCTTTTGCACCTAAACGTTCTAAATCATCTAAAAAGCTGAAAATACAGAATGAAACTTAGTTGAAGAAATATGATGCTTTACGCTGGTAATCATGGTTACAACCGTCTTATGAGCAATCATTTATTCAACTGGTCAAGACAAAAAAAATTCAAATTCACAAAAAATATGATGTTCATAATTCTTTGTACAATTTTTACTTAGACTGGGGGATACAGGGATAATTAAAGAGAGAAAGAAAGTCAAAATCTATAGAAAGAGGTACTTAATCAATACTTTTATACTTTTTTGAACATTAAGTATAAAAAGAGGATCTTAAACGAGTGCTTATGTTATATTAAATTTATGAATTGAGTTTTCAGATTTAATTTAACCCAAGCAAGGGAAATATTTAATCTGGCAACAAATTTCATTCATTCATATAACAAAAGCACAAATGAAAATTCTATTTATCACACAACTATGAATAATTTTCATGATTTCCTTAAATCCCTTGCAATTTTTCTATATAGGGCCTTCATTTTTAGGTCAAGCTTCTTACACCTTTCTACAAAAAGAAAGATGTTGGTTAAGACAATAATTGCAGTGCTTTCTTTGCAAATGACTATTTTTTTTTTTTTTTTTTCGAATTTTACCTTCGCTTGTTTTCTAAGAAGGCAACATGCCACAGACTGTCTGTTGTTGTTTTCTGGTCAAAATAGTGGACAATTATTTGTTAAATGTAAATTTCCACCCAGAAATGAGCGGTGGCCAATGACTCTTTTTCGATTTTTTTCATTTATTAGCTTTAATACTGATCTGATATTGCTCAAACTTTACTGTATATAACATCGTGCTAATGTCTACAAGATAGCAATTGAAAAAATCCACAATTTTGACTTTTGTCGCTGACTTTTTTAGCTCCAATTTTGGAGTTTTTTAACCTTTTTTCTAACTTCTACAATTCTATTTTGATCAATCTGAAAACTTACATAGAGATAGACACTTTTATTGCGAACAAAAATTAATTTTCGAAATTTCGATATCACTTCCGGTTTTGACGCTATTCGCTTGTAAAATATAAAATTCAACTTCCGGAATTTTGAAGATATTTCAAAAATTCTTTTTGCAGTATGTTGCAAATGGTAATACAAAAAACTTCAAATAAAAAAATCCGACCCGGATGTAACAGAGTAGCCGCCATATTGATATATCAAACTTTGGTAAAATTCAAAATGGGGCCTCAGGGTAAAAATCGCTTTTCATAATTTTGGTATATCTGGATATCACAATCGATTGCGAAAAGAAATTTGGAAGCCGATTTTTTAAATTTCTATATTGCTTTTCTTCTAATTCTGTTTATAATTTTTCAGTAATGACCAAAATTTCACAGGCTCCTATTTCGTGACCTTGACCTTTGGTGACCTTCTGGCTTTAAAAAAAATTTGTTGCTCTTGATGATATCTATCCAGTGATATACTCATTTGTGCTGTGCAATGTTTTCTTCCGGTTTTATAGCCGATTAAAATTTACGATTTTCATCTTCAAAGAGCTCCGACACATGACCTAATTTACATACACCAAAAATTCTTATTGAATCTTACTAGTGTTCATCTGCCCTTTGTAATGATATATAACACTAGACTTTTTCAATCAAAATTGCGCTTTTTAATATTTGAAAATTTTGTACTTTCTTCTATAGTAACTGTGCGTAATTTTCTATAAATCGAAATGGGGCCTCAGGGTGTAATCCAATTTGCGTAAATTTGATATCTATGGTATCTACTATCGATTGCTAAATTATATTTGAGAACCAATTTTTGAATTTTGATTTTGCTTTTTATTTATTTCCGGTTGAAAAATATGAATACTTCAAAGGGTCGTATATCGTGACCTTGACCTTTGGTGATCATGTGACCAGATCAATTGTGATAGCTCTCTACGAGATCTTTCCAATGGTATATTAACCTTTATTGTACGGTGTTTACTTCCGATTTTATCGCCATTTGAAATTGATGAATTTTATCTTGAAAAGTGGGTTTTCCGCTTGTAAGTTTTTTTTGTGGTGTTGAATGCAATGTGAGTTGAAGCGATCTGTCGAATATGCTTTGCGTTTGGCCGATCTATATCCAGTTAATTATGATAGAAAATTATGTTACTGTTACGATACTTTGCGGCACAGTTTCAAGCGTAAAATCAAAACTGTTACGCACTGCATCAGAACCTCACGAAGCCTGTGGATCTAGTTTTATTACTGAAGTTTTAATCAAAATTACGTTATTTGGGACAATTTCATGCCCTTTACCTTCAATTCTACCTGAGTAGTCAACTTCAAAGAATGCCATGTTGTTCTGTTTACATGGTGCATGAATACTTGACCTAATTTGCATAGTTATTAACCTGTTCTAGAGTTCATATCGTTTTATGAACCTGTCTGTGTACTTGAGTAAAGAACTGTTCTGTGATAATATTTGTTATTACATGATTCTTGAAAAATTTAATGATTGTTTACAACTTTGTTTATGAATCCTATGAGATATTAAATTACCTTCCTTAAAATGTCATATTTTCTCTGTTTTGTCAATCTAATAAAGGATATTTATTAGTTTGTATATCATTGAAAGAAAGATTCATGAAATTTTTTTATGATTTACTATGAGGAATACAAGTTTTGATGTGAATAATTGTAATTTTCTAACAAAAACCTTCAGCTTGAGTATTTCTCAATATTCGGTATACACTTATGAGGTTAAGAACAAAATTATTAAACCACAAAGAAAAATAATGAGTATGACCTTTTCATATTAACATTAATTCAGTTAACTCTTTGCTCAGTTCAATGTTTCGAACTATATCTATATACAAATTATTAAAAAAGCAAAATATAGTACTCATTGAGTATAATTTCTTGTACCTGGTCACTATTTCTATAGTATAAAATCTTAGTATTTTGAAGTAATAATTATATCAAAAGGGAATTCAAGGAAATGTAGTTTTTAAAATGTTCACAAAAATTTCACAAGAATTTAAATAGTTATGAGTATGTTTTCTATTGCATATAATTTACTTATTGCATATAACAAACTGCAATAGTGTAGGCGTACATATCTGGATTTTTATTAAATTGAAATTTCTAAGCTATTATGTCAGTAAAATGTGTCACATCAATAAATCAAACACTTGAATAACATACTATTTATAATTTGTTTTACTGTTTAAATTATATCATTATGATCTATTGTATTAATTGGTCAGGAAGTATTCTACCAATAAAAAAGATAGTGGACCACATTCATATACGCCCTCGCGGCATGTGGATGGTAAATACTGAAGATTTTGGGGCAAGGGCAATAACTCTGCTTCTTACGGTTGAAAATAGCTCCAATTCGAACTTGATCTTCGTTTTAAGAATATGTCTACACATACCGAATTTCATTTGGTTCCATCAAAAAGTCTAGTTTTTAGAGCGTTTACAAGCAAATGATGTTATGCATATTCAAGATTTTGGGGCAAGGGAAATAACTTTGCTTCTAATGGTCGAAAATAGCTCGATTTCAAACTTGATCTTCGTTTTATGAATATGTATACACATAGCGAATTTCATTTGATTCCATCAAAAACTCTAGTTTTTAGAGCGTTTACAAGCAAATGTTGACGGACGGACAGGGGCGCCGGCAATATACGTCCACATAGAGAGATGTGGGCGTATAAAAACTAGAATATATATCAGTCTGAAAGATCTAAGTGTTTTACATAAGGTAGCATGTCCTAAAGTTGAATTCTAATATGAATACAATCTTTTCATCCCTTTAACTTTCGCAAGTAAGGAAATGAAAAAGAATGTAGTTTTACATCCTAAATCTTGCTCAAAATAACGGCATTTGTTTTTATTTTTTAACTAATGAGAGATCTTTCATATGCACATTCTGTAGCACATAGGCCCTCGATTATTGTCCCATCTGACCTTCATCCCTGACATGGGGAAACCTGGTTGAAAAATCAGAAAGAGCATCTCAACCTATGCTGAACCCCGGTATAAAGATATTTTGAAGCAGTATTGCAATTTCATCAGATGTAAGACAGGTCAAATTGTTACAGACAAGACTTTCTATTTCAAAGTATTTTTCTTGATAACAAAGGAAAAAATTATCACTTTTGACTATCAATACATGATTTTTTAACATTTGCTCTAAATGAAACAAAATATCTTACTATTTAGCTGAATCATTCAGTTGATATTCATTAGATCTACCAAAACATTCTTGTACACCACTATCATTCCATAGTCGTTTCATGGCTGCTAATAATTCTTCCGAAAAAGGCTCTGTATCTTCCATTCTAGCTATCACATCAAGCACCATTTTCGCATCAGACTGAAAATACAATGTCATTCATTTTATACCTGAGAAATGTTATTATTATATATGTTTTTCAATGCCATTATAATGTAGGCAAGGAATGCTGTGTACAATAATTGTAAAATAAAAAAATAATATCAAGCACAACAACTGATAACTGTATCAGTATAAATATTATAATTAATCTCCTTAATGATCAGAATTCAACATTTGCATTTATAAAGTCTGTTAATGAAATTGTGTGGTTTTGATGCAATTCATATTATTTCACCAGATTGTTATGTATATAATGTGGGATGGGGAGACCTATATATGTGCCATTATGACAGATAGCAGCATAATTCATTGTGCAGTACATTCAGTAAATAGTCTTTGACTTTCAGAGTGGTTAAAACATATTTCTCTAGTTGTCATTTAAATAAAAATATTATTATCTAAGTTTATGTTATATATTGAAAATCCAGCATTAAGTGATAATTCTAGTCATATTGGGGATGTAAACATTAAAAATCTGTGGTATTTTAATATGTAAATTTTGTGTTATCTAAATGGCTATAGAAGGGAATGAAAATCAGCAATGAATAAGAGAGAAACAAGTATTGTCTGTGTGACAGCATACTGTAGCCAACCTAATATTGATTGTCTTCTAAGGTTGCTATGCCAACACTATAAGTCTCAGCCCAATATAACACTGGCTCATTCATTAAACTAAGGAAAAGTCATATTGATTAGAATAGACTAGAAAATTAGGCACAAATCACTTTTATTTCACAATACCAGAGTAAAAGATAAGATTTTATTAAAAAAAATTCCTATTATACTGTTCATTTCTTATCAATTATATTAGTATTCACATTTATCCAAATATACATATAAAAAATATAGATAGAAACAACACAACTAAACATATGACCGGTTCATCAAATGATAAACATTGAAAACACAAAAATACATATTCTAATGCAAATTCTGTCAATATTTGTGTAGCTTGTGAAGCAATTATCATATTGATCTAAATGCCTGCATGAATTACTACCATCAAAATCATAACAATATACTCCTTGTATATATCAAACCAAACATTACATATTTAATCATAAAAATAACAAGATAACTTTATGATAATAAACAGATAATCTAAATTTTAAATTGTAACCGAAAATACCACATTAACATAACATAAACCATCATATCATCTCACAACTTCCATATCTAGCTAGTCCCATTAGAAAATTGAAATAGGGTAAGTGATATAAAGTTTGAAAATTTTCCAAGAAAGTACTGAATAGTAAACAGTGTTACTTTTAGGTCAGATCTAAAAAGAATCATTACTGAAAATTACATGAAATCCTATTTATATCTGCCAATTAGATTAAGTCATAAATATAACCTAGTTTTAAAACATATCTTACAGTAACAGACTACCTTTGACTGGTTCTGGTACTAACTAAACCACCAACCACCATTAGCCTCAATACAAGTAAGCCTATAACATTGAGTCATGGACATTTCAATAGCATGTTACTCACTACTCAGCCTTCGAGCTATTGAGGAAATACAGATTTTTTCAGAATTTCATGGCAGAAACCACTTTCAGACATAAAGTACTGCAGCTAAACATTTTGGCTTGAATAAAATTTGCTGCAAACAGAACAGTAAAATTAACTTTTTTTCACTTGTCTTCTATTGTCAATATCAATATGAATGCTTTTTTATCATAAAAGTTAAGAAAGCCATTAGCCCAAGTTGGACTTTCAACTTAACCCAAAAACTAAAGCTTGAATGTAGTTCACAACTCGGACAAACTGTAAATCTGATGGTTGAAAGACTTTGAAAGAGGATTACAATTCTTACATCTGATTAACATTTTCAGTGTCAAATGATTCAAGATTCCCTTATAAGCTTGAATGATAAAATTGACTAAAAGACAATTTTATAAAGTAACTGAAGTTGAAGGATCAAATATCATGGTTAGATGAATAAGACCGAGAAAAAAAATCGAAGATAGAACATGAGAAATGAGTAGGATCAATTAAATAAATAAGAGAAATTGATGAATGAACTGAAGCTAACAACCAATACAGCTGTGTATTGAAAATTAAACTTGATCCCATAGTAACAACATATTCTACAATAACAGTAAGTAGACTATTTTATAAAATCATATTATTACATTCTGCATCTTCATGATGACTTGCAACAATAAACCTGTGAGAAATGAAGAACATTTCAAAAGAAAGTATCCTGTCAATTGGAATATTTAGAATGCAATCTTAAGAGATGCTGATAATTTGCAACACACATGGATTTTAAGGCTCAAATTTTGGCGGTGAGCTGTGAACACTATTATTGATTGACTTACCAAAAGAAATATATTTCTGAGGTTTAAATATGATTGGTCAAAAAAAATGGCGCACCTGTATCTTTATGACATTATGTTATGTTTATGTACATGTATATCAACTTCCATTTGAATAAAAATTGTTGTTTTCCAATATTATAAAACCAAACAGAAAGATAATTGGAGTTATATAGAATTTCCCATACAGATTGAGATTATAACAGTTGAAGTCTGTGATAAAGTATCTTAGCCATAAATTATTCATTTCCTAAACTATTACAGCCACATCTGTTAGAGCTAGAGATAATTTTGTGAACGATTGTCATTCATAATATATTCAAATATAATTAGTAATAGATATAGTGACGTCAGTACTAAGTTCACTGAGTAAATATTCTAGTTTTTAACATTATAGGTTACAGTAAATGTCTATTTGTACTATCAAATATTTATGGGTTTGTACTCAAATCATGTGGATAACTACTAATAAAGTAATGATATAACTTTATCAAATGGAACAATGGTTTTTATATGAATAATTTTACAATGTTAAAGTGCTTAGTTTACATATAGATACACACAGGTGGGGCTGGGTATCGATTACCAAATTGAGATCAATTATCAACATCAGACTATCAAGTAATAATCGATTAATAATCAAAATATTTTAATTGAGAAACCTTGTAAAATGCATGCCAAAATTTTTAATTCCATGGGTTATTTTTGTGTCATAGAAGTATATAACAGCTTTAATCAGTCATTACAGTTTATTATGGATATGTTATGTGCTGAAGGAAATTTATGTGGAAGAGATTACCACTTGTTAATAGGAACACATGAGAAAATATAACTTGACATTTAATCGATAATGAAATTTGATAAACGGAATTATAAATTCCTAGAAACGATAATCAAGTATTTTACCCAGTCCTATACAGAGCTCATGCATATCTATTGACCTATTTTATTGGTATCTTCTAGTGCAAATTGTTACATTTTCAATTTTCTTCTAGCCAGTGAAGAACTTTCTAAATAACGAGAAGCACAAGACTACTGGCTGGTGATGATCACCAAGACAGATATAATGCATTGTGAAGAATTAATTTGGTATATTTCTATTGATTTAAGCTTTAAGAAGATCAATGATTTTAATCAACAAATTGTAGAAATGTTCAGTTCATCCTACTCACTCTAGATAACTTTCAGCAACATAAATAGCAATACTACTGGTATACAAATATATAGTCAGGACAATTGGTCTGATAGATTATCGGAGACTTTTTTCTCAGTCAGAAATAGGACTTTTCCAAGATATCTGACCACAATTCATTTTATCACTGAAGGACAAACAATGCATAACAAGGTCATAGTTTTGCAATACTGACACATAATATCAAAGTTTGTAGACCTTGAGAATCCCAAGACTCAATTCAAACAATATGAAAGAGCAAGCATTTCCTGTCTTGCCAACGACACGTGCCAGATAACATTTCAGTATTTTTGGGTGTGAACACAAAAACTTAAAGCAACATGAACAGTCATGTCCAAATGACAAGTGTAGTAACTTTCATAAAAAAGAAAGAAAAAAACACATCCAAATATGCATATTCAAATCAAATTAAAAGTTCACAGAAGTATTTTGAACTCTGAAGATATCAATATAAGAACATGCATCATTCCGCATAAATTGCTTTCAGAAAGAAATGTTGTCTTACCTCTCTATCATTGTCTCCAAAATTAATATTGAGTGTGCTCATGGCGCGGATAATGGCAACAAGGGACTGTATAGTATTGCTGTATACTACTGGTTTAAATTGTTTATTATCCTCACTTGTAAACCCTCCTTCATGAATAATTCTGAAAAAATAAAGATAAAATCATTGAAGGCTCAATAGAAAAATATATATTTATTGTCTGAAATGAAGAGCAAGAATATATATACCGGTACATGTTATAAAAATTAGGAAAAATTATGATCCTTTTCTTTCTTATATACTACTTAAAATTTTACTTTGATTATGGATTAGAAGCTGATCTTATACTGTTGTCATGTGTTTAAGGATTAAATCCTAACATTATGTGGTATGGCTGATGGGGACTGAATATCCAACAATTTAACTTGGGAGTAAAAGAGCTGGACTTGAGATTCAAATGCTATGGACATAAATATGAGAACAATTTTGTGTAAAATTGTCAATGTCAGCCATTGTATTTCTATTTTCTACAGTAAGAATAAGACAAAGTGATTCAGTCAATGACATTCTACCTCCTAGATATAAACAGCTATAAAGGTTATAATATGATAATTACAGGATTGCTGGACATTCCATATTAACAACCATGGAATCATACAATTTTATAAAACTTGTCTCTCTCAAAAGGCAAGTAAACATAAAGTTATTATTGATCAGTTTTGAAAGGTCAGTCATAAAAAACAAGGCCAAATTCATGAATATTCATTCAATCAAAACGATCATAATTTATAAACCCTCAATAAGACCAATTTCAATAATTTATTTAGAACATTCACATGACATTTTCATCTATTCAGTAAAAAGAATGATGAAATATTTATGTTTATCACTGGAAAATTTTTACTCTGTCGCCTACATATTTTACATCAACTATTATCATCAATTATAAGTATCGAATGTCAGTAGTTGTTCAACTTGTCATAGCTCTGATGTAAATGGTAAATGTCCACAATGACTGTCATTTCTATACTTGAATAATTAATGCCTAGTAGACATTACTCATGTCAACTCGTTAAGTAAATTAATTTAGTCACAGAGTGGCATCAGATATTCATAAGGTTAGTGCCCTTCTTTATCTCAAAGACAGGAATCGTTAGAGTTGGGCTCAATCTAATGAAAGCTTTTTATTTGGATTAGATCCTTGTAAGTTTACATGTTGAAGACAATGTGGATCTTGACTTATCTTTATACAAAAGTGAGACTAAATCAACAATTTTTACACAGACTTTGATTTATCATATGATAGGTGAAATGGAAACAATATTTGGAAAATTGTTTCAAAGATGGTCAAGTGTTTTTGTAAGTTCTCTGATCATTTGACTTGTTAAATTAAACTCCTTCAACAGACCCCATACCTTTTATCACCAGATGATAATATGATTTTGTAAGGTGATTCAATCATAATACTCATATTACCTGTCAATCATATCTCTGCTGATTACCCTACACATCCAGTATACTACTTCTATAGAACAAAAAAAAAACACCCTCTCCCCTTGCCCCAAATCAATAAACACTAAAACAATATTTTTAACATTAATCTGCCCTACTCAAAATTATGTGTAGCCTATTTTGTTTCCATGATAATGTATTACGCCACTATTTGAACAGATACCTCAGACTAAGATAACGTTAGAATTTGTCAACCAATAAAATAATACAGCAAGATGGAGGCTAAATGTGGTGCGAACTCGTCTATATTATAAAGAAGTAAATTCTGAGGCTGGCAGCAATGTCAGTCTATTACGGTTCCACAAATCAATATTATACACTGTTCTAAAAATAACCATTCTGCATTCACTACTACACTACAGTGTTGTCGATAGAACAGAAACCTTCCATTAAAATATAGCTGCTCACAGTCGACAACATCACATACTTCGAAATATTGGACTGGTCTCCATTTTAAAGGTTCCATTGTAACTTAAAGCCAATTTAACTTCTGAGCTGAACCAAATTATTATATATTCAACCTCAAAACACGATCGTCAATCTAAAGTCCCTCGGTGTGTGAAACTGTACAATTTGATTAATATTTTCATGCTTATTCGAACTATCGCTTCGAATCAGAAATTGTTTGGGAAACGAGATTGCTGATGATTCAGGCGATCCATAGATCGATGGCGACATGGAATCCAATGATACATAGTTGCTGACCAGGTGTTCCCCGTAGTCACAGTCTCTCTATCGAAACAGCTGTGTTCTCGCCGTAAAAAAATCCACGTGCAGTTCCTAGTCCGTGTTTAATTTATAAGATCCATATATCTGTCTGAATCTGAAGAGCTAATGACATATGTCCTCTGGACATTTATACAACCAGGACAGAAAAGTCTGTCATTTTCAGACAATATACATTGAAGTGCAAAAGCACAAATGTAGATGTGGAATGTGTAATAATTTTTGGTAATTTTTTTGACCAATCATACTTCAGTCTCGAACACGGGATTTTTATTTTAGCTAAGCTAATCATAGCTCACCGTGGAAATTTGAGCCTTCAAATCCAAGTGTCTGGAATTATCCGCGTTAGAACGTTTAAAAGACGAGTAGTCTGCTATCGCCTGCTATATACAGAAAAGATATTTTTGAAATAGGAAAAGTATTTTGAGACATTTTTGAAGGAATTATGCTATTTTCGTTCAGAAGAGAACTGGGCGTATAAAAATGGTCTGATCTGGAATCGATCTATTATTTACAATGTCGTAATAGACCTAATGCTTTCAGAACTCCAAACTGTAATATCAAAGAAGAACTTTCCTTACATTATGCAAACCAGAAAAGTATTTCTTCTGCTTTTCGTTCCTTTAGGTAGCCTAACATATTTCAACAGTTGGAATGAAGCTGGATTACAATCATCATATAAACAATGATACGCAGTAATAATAATATTTTTCTCGGACAGAATGTTCTGTAATAATAATTCACCAAGACCCATGTTTTGCTGGTCAAACGTCAAACCAATACATCGTTACGTCTTTGCTGACGTTTATTTGGGGTTTCTGAACTTCATTGCCTGGTAGAACTCCCCCGCTTCATGGCTTCTATTTATATAATATCTTCTTATGTAATCATCCCTTCAGCAATTGACGTTGAATAACAGCCGTCTAATACTGTCAGAGTCAATTCTTATGTTTGCCTAAAAGCAGTATAAGAGATCTTATCTTTCGATCAATGAATAACAAAGATCAATGTTTCATAAACCTTCATAGACTGTTACAGAATAAAAAGAAGCACTGGAGTAAACAATTCACACAAGGACAGATATATTTACCTACAGATTGTTTGTTTTTATTTTTCTACCTGCTCCATCTCAGCTAGAACTTTCTGCACCTGACCTTACATGAACAGTAAGCGCAATGGAGTATGTTTCAATAAGGTCATGCAAGAACCAAAATATCAGTACTGATGCAATTAATAAACAATTTTATATAACTGGTGTTCTACACCCTGTCGTGCATATTTCACGTATTTTATGTATTATGTTAAATAGGGAATTGCAATTGTCGCAGCGCGAATTCGGGATGTTCATCAATGCCGCCATCTCACCATGCAGTTGCTGGAATCTCGCCGATTCTTTCTTCTAACCTAATTATATCTTCTACCGACGTGATGCTCAGCTATCGAACCATATATTTCAAAAAAAAGGAACAAACATCCTTGTCATTTTGGTAAAAGATTGAGGTGAACGATTATACTATCAATATACTGACAATGTTTTGTTACCTTCTCAAAATGTTCAGCAATAAAATTGTATAGAAAATAAAGTAAGCCTACCATCTCCATGCAGATGATATCCTGAGCCATCACCATCATCATGGATAGGTATATGTTTTTGTTCCATAGAGAACTTAAGTTTAATAAAAAATATCTAGTATCAAGTATTTGTTGTATATTTTGAGGTTATAGAAGGTAGCTTTAAACGTTCAAGCACAAAAGACACCGTCTAGTTGCAGTACTCTGGTAGAGATAGCCAATCCTCTTTATTGACTCGAATGTTAAATAAACTTACTAATGATCCTGTACAGTTTAAAACTATGCATCGCGGCATTTTAGGGTTCATTTCCATAACTGTGAACTACCTTTAATGTGAACTGTTTTCAGAATTGCAGCTGTAATCCAGAGATTTCCCTTGAATTTTGTGTGTTCTTTTGTAATTCTAGATAACTAAATACTTTCAAATCCTACAGCCTTTTTACTGTAAGTTTGAAAAAGTAAGTAAAAACATGAGTATTACTTTTACAACAGGAGTAAATCTGTCACTGCAAAATCAATCGACCGGTGCCCATGTAGTTACAGAACAGTGAATATCTAGAACACAACGTCGTGAGTAATGAACCGTACAGCCAAAGTTTCACAACCTTCAAGTCAAATCCGGGATACCAAGATTCTTACGATGGGTATTTCAACAGAAAAATCTGTTTCGTGATATTTGGTATATGTTTTGGTCCTGAATCACTGGTTCCCTTTATTTATTGCCGTCCCACAACTATCAGTTAATACATGGTTTTGATGAAAACAGCTTTGGACTGAGTGATGTGTTCCAGAAAAGGTGTAAATATATATCTACTATTCCCTCTTTATTATCATTTCCCGTGATAAATATAGAACAATGATGACTTTGAACGTGTTTCCTGTTTTTTTATCACATATATTTTGCATGTACACTAGACTTTAATGATCGTAGATTAGCCAAGATATCCCTACACGTAACTATAATATCCGAAAAAAGCTTCTGTAAAGATGGCTACGTTTCTCAATGGTTCTAAAGTTAATTTATACTCTGAAAACCAGTGTAAATTGACCTGATATAAACTTATCTTAAGAAAACCCTGTTCAACATTAATGAAGCGAATCTTTAAAAAGATTGTCTTTTCCTGTTACAACCAAATCATCTTTTCTTGCATGATTTCATTGTATTTCAATCCTCATCCTTTAAAATTAACTATATTTTCGTGTTGTTAATTTTGCATGAAAATGTTTGATTGTGTTTATAATTTGTTCTGATACAACAGGTTGAAATCAAATAACGGAAGGTCATCTCTTACTTTGGTCATGGTGAAAATATATAGGAACAGCCAATATTTGTACTTTCGACTTTCGTAATATATTATATGCAACAAGCAGACCAGGTCGAAATAAAGTGGAACATGTCGTTTCGGGTGTATTTTAACTCAACGTTTAATTTTTAATATTTCAACGTGAAGGGAGTGGTAGATAAAATAAGTAAGCTAACATTAAGTAACAGTTTACAGTAAGTACTTAAGGCGCAGGGTATCTCCCAATACTTTTGATTTAATAATAATAGGCTATATTCATATTTTCAAAGAGTAGAATTTCATAAAGTATGACGGATTTTACAATTACTGTGACTCATTGCTGGCAGAATCATGAGAACCTTTAACACCACCAATTAGATTCTGCTCATTTGTTGAATTGATTCGACGACTGAAAATTTGCAATTGTAGATAGTTGACATCAGTAATTCGTGCTCTACTTTCTTAAAACACGAAACTGGTAATCAGTGTTGATTGCAGTCAGTTTTATTGCTTATATGAATCTTTCTCTCTTGCCGATCACGATGGATCTGGTGAGATGTGAAATACCCATCTACTATTGTTGGTTGGTTGGTAAAGGAACAGACCAACCGCTTCAAGCAGACGCTAACATCACAGACTATCCTCCTCGGTCAGTCGGTCTATACTTTTATACGAGTGGTATCACGAGTCCACAACCAATAACAGCGAAATAAGACCACACTAGAGCATGTTGTAAAACCCGATGCACTTCTCAGCTACAGAAGAGATTGCATATGGCATAAATGGTACAATTTTACGTGACTCATACTTCCGTAGGATAAAATAGCATGACAGTAGATGCATATTCTTAGCAAAAAAAAAAATGAGATGTGCATTAATTATATATATGTAATGTATTATTTGTAATTCATGAATAAATATTGTTTTTTAAAAAGATATGCAAATGAAACGTCTCATTTAAAGGAGCTCAAGACTTGCATAAAATATATACATTAATTTCGTGGAGTACTGATTCGTATCCAGCCATCTTTAAGATAGTCCAGGCTTCAATATTGCCGGCAGTCATCTGGGAAGTAATTTCATTTAGATCGATTATTCTTTCTATCTACAGGTTTATTTTCAATATTGAAATGTGCAGAATGAGATAACCTTAATATATCTGAATGTAATTAATTTGAAAACGACTTTTAGATTCATTACTATTAAAATCTATCTAATAGCTATCGATATGGGCCCAGCCCTGTCTGATCGATAAAGTTTATTTGCTGCGCGGGTAGCAGTATTATACCGGTACTATCACGCATTCTGTAGGAATACCATTTCTATAATAGCACGCGCCATCTGTATTCCACTTTACCATACTCCTTAACATTCTTTAAATAGAACATATGGTGAAATTATCTTTACCTTTACTCTAATATTTTTTATTAATATTACATGTACAGCATATTTACATGCCCAAAGTTATCAATTTTCTCAACTGTATTGTATCAAAAGCAAAGAGAATGATCGAAATCTCTGTTGTCGGCAAAGAGAATCTAGGCCACCATTTTGAATTGCTAAGCAAAGCAGTCTGTTATAATTTATGAATCATGGTAGTGTTGAAAACCACATTTTATATCCTTAGATTTGAACTGAATATGATACTTTTATCTTTTACATAGTATTATTATTGCAACATGGACAATAAATTTCAACATTTAGACCTTATTTTTAATTAACATTCGGTATAATAACTATTTATTTGATTATCTATTTAGAATATGGAAAATGAATGGGTCCTTCTACGATCTACTCCTAAAGATTAAAATTACAGCACAGTAATGTGTTTTTGAAGGTTTGATAAAACAGAGGTTATCTAAAGCCAGCTGTGATTTGATGGTCAGCGACGTCATGGTTGAATAGAGTAGGTCACTAACTATCTCCAAAGTACAATGAGTTGCAAACAGCTGACAGGCCTCATGTTGCTAACAACATAACCATAATTATAAAAAATCTAAAACTATTATGGACACGTAATCCAAGTCTTCTACTGAGTGTAACAAACATCAATGAGATTAGGGATTTCAAATCTTATTCTTTTAAGATTAACCAGATTATGAGATAATCTGTTTTTTGGGTTAAGGTCTTCAACGACCAGAATTAAAAGTTCTGTTAACCTGAACTTAATTTTATATGTGTTTTGGTTGAGCTAAATTCATCATAATAAGTCAAGATAGGTTGAACCAATGTTATATCGATATAAATTAACTAGTGATATTAGTGAACAACCCCACCCGATCAGAAAGCTTAGTGATAAATAAGAACTGGATCACAATGTGATAAAATCTGACCATCTATAAACTTTTCCTGGAGAGCACAAAATATATCATTTACCGTATAGTATAGACGACATTCTATGCAATAAATAGAAATAATTTGCTTACTTCATTTGTTTGACGATAGTACTTTTCCCCGATTCACCCGCACCTACCAAAAGAAAATACATGACGATATAACATTGCTATTATACAAGGTGACATACAAATATTTGATAGAAATTGAGAAAATATAATCAAATGTGCTGAAATGCATAACAATAAATGATATATAATCAAATAAATTCAGTCTATGTACTTGGTGCCATTCAATAATGGTAATGCCAAGTCTGTGAGTTATCCAAGATGGCCGCCGCATAATAACAATCATGTACTGTATACCGGCAAATGTTCTTCTGAGATTACACGACATGCCAAAGAGTGCAAACTTAAAATAACCAAATTGCAAAATGCTTACCTAAAAGCAACAGTTTTATATCCTTTGCAGCTTGGATTCCATCTTCTTTTAAATTCCTTTCAATCGCTTTACTCCTTTCCATAGCATCTCGCTCCTCGGCACTGAGAGTACACCCCATTCTGACTGATTATATCCAGCTGAACGTTCACAAAATCTGCTATGAAACCTCCGCTTCCGTGTTGAGTAAAATGTATCCACACCCCACCCGCACAATGAGGGAGTATCCAAGATGTTTTAACCCCCAACTACTCCGACACCTCACCCTGGTTCTCGATCTTGCTATGCTTCTGCATAAAAAGTGAGATCTCGATACGGTCGTGAACCAGCGAGATACGGTGAATGCTATGAAATAATTCTCTATATCCCTTTACGTCCAATCAACGGCAAAGCGAGTCACATCGAGGCCGGCTACACTGCAATATACAGAAAAGCGGCGGTTAGAAACTGTTTTCCTGCCGTACCATCTCACTAATTAGTTAAATTTAACACCCTTTTATCCCCCAAAATGAAAAATCTTTTAGACCGGCCTCAGCCTAACAGAACAAAGACGTCGAAAAATATGCCAATGTATTGCATTGAAACAACTCAGAATATCGTCGTATAAAATCGATCGCTTTGTGGGGTCGCTACGTGACGTCATTGCATTGCACGGGCTCTGTGGACATTATTCCGGAGGCTATACAATTAAGAAATTATGAAAATTAAGGTCATTTCATATTACTGAATGCACGCGTCGCCTTGCGCCTTCTGGGATATCATTTGAAAGTATTTCTAAAATTATCGATAGAACTATTGCAGTTGATTATGCAGCAAGGAATAAACAGACATTACCTTATAATAAATAATCTAACAGCCCGCTTTATTTGAATCTGGTAGAACTCTACGTGAGAATATTACTCGATACTCCCAATGTATTTATCACAATCACAGAAATATCACACAATGTTGACTTGGGAAGACCTTTGTTGAATGAACTGAAAGCAGACGAATTTGTTGGTAATCAAGTGTTTGGTTAGAGAACATCTGTTACCATCATCTCATAGTTTAAATAACTATTTGTCATCAAGTAAATCCAATCACCTATACCATTAGTAACTATTTTCATTTAATAGAAATACCTCACCTATATCAAAACAAAGACGACCTGAACTTTTTCCTTGATCAAAAAATAACGGACGCATGATCGATCATACTTAATTACAATACAATAATGTGATAACAGGTCTGTGTTGTTGATTTGAGTTTAAGAACATGTGCGTTACCTGAGATTGAATTGACGGTGAAAGAACACATATCATCATTAATTAAATAGTTATGATTAGTGAAAAATGATTCTTCTCTTCTTTAACCATCGACTTTTCGAATATTATCAAAGAAACTGAGGGTAACAACATAGTAAACTTTATTTTGTAAAACAAATTTTACATAAAAAAAATATTTGCTACGTTATGCGAGGTATTTTATCGAGATGAAATTAATGTTCAATTGAAAATACCAACAACAATGTCAAACTGGTGGAATCAAAACAAAAAACTGGATCCGAATGCACATCATACATCAATTTTCGGCTTCCACTATAATGCACCCAGAAAGCATATGTTTGCGAAGCAACTCTTAAATATTGTATTTCACGGTATAAACTTTTACACAATTTCCTTTTAGAGTAATGAAAAGGGGTATCAGGTGTTTAGAAGAGTAAGCATACCTTGCCTTGCGCCACACCCGTCATAGAGCTCTGCTCAACATACACAAATATAAATAGAAACGCGCCGACAAAAGAAATAGCAACTTTTACGACGAATTTTAAAAGTTCAAGGGACGTAACTGATGAAAATATTTCTCAAATTTCAATAGTCATTGAGGGAACTGATTACAATAATTGTTATATCATGATAAGAAAAAATGTTGCAAATACCATTCATGAATCCATGAAAAACGATCAAAAGAGTAAGCATACCCTGCCCGGAACCACACCCATAATACATCTGTAGCTTAGATGTTAAATGCTTCAATCTAGCTAAGAAACCAACTCAGCTCTACCGAATGCGAAATGTTGGTGCACATTGCTGGAAATTGATAATTGTAAAATAAAGATCATCAAGCTGGTCATATAATTTTACACAAAGTTTCCGTTTATTGTCATATTCGAGACGTAGATCAAAGTAGGATGCGTAATTTTCGTCATCGGTTGTTTTTGTAATTTCTAATTGCTCGGGATATATGGAACCTAAATAATCACTTAATTTAGGAGAGGACATCACCGGTAAGCAAAATTAAATCGTTGTTATTTTTAACGAGTGCTCTGCATCGTAATATAAATAGATAGAGGCGCAGTTGGCGTCCATAGGGATACTTACCACTTGCTGATAAATGTCGCTGCCAAATTCAATAAAAATGTTTTCGATTAGAAAAGCCTATTACACAATTACTGCTCCTGCAACATACTTTACAGTTACTGTTTCTTTAACATTCTACACTATTACTGCTCTTGTAACATGCTATACAAGTACACGTATTGCTTCTTAAAGATACTATACAATTACTGCTCCTGTAACATTACTGTACAATTACTGCTCCTGTAACATTACTGTTCAATTACTGCTTCTGTAACATTACTGTTCATAGCTTTACTATATTGCTTCTGTAACATACTATATAATTATTGCTTCTGTAACATACTATATAATTATTGCTTCTGTAACATACTATATAATTATTGCTTCACACAATTACTACTTTTCTAACCTTCTTTACAATTACTGCGTCTACTACCTAATTTATAACTACTTCTTCTGTAAATATACTACACATTAACTGCTTCTGTATAAAACTCCACAATTTCTGCTTCTGTAACATACTATACATGCAATAACTGCTTCATTAGCATAATAACTGTTTCTGTACAAGGCGGATTGAATATCTCAATTGTGAAAAATCAGTATGGTTCATTTTTTTCTCCGCATAGTCTCCTTCCATGTTTACAAACTTTTTCTTCATAACCACGGATAGCTGACATATGGTATTCATACTAGTTTGTATACAGGAGAATTGTCTTGATAGAATATGATTTAGTGAGCATTCCTCGTCTCTTACCTTTGATAGCTTCACGCAACTATCTCAGTAGGTTAGCATAATATCTTCCCTTTATAGTCTTTTTCCAAATATTCAATCAACAGAATACCCCTGGAATCTCAAAAAGAAATAAAGCCATCACCTTTCCAGCAGCGGGAACCTTTTTGGATGCTGGTGTTCCTGATGCTTCTAATGTTTAAACTAGTTTCTGGAGATGGATCCAAGTCTCCTACATGATTACACAGCAGGCAAAAAATGCAGCAGCTTCAAAACGGCATATATTGTTATTGGACATGAGGAATCTAGCACTTTTTGATCCACTGTCAAGTGCTTTGGCACTCATTTTGCAGAAACTTTTGCCATTCCCAACTCGGGGTGATTAGCCGTCACCATGTCATGCACCCGGGTAATGTTTTCCGAAATGGTTGCTGGTTGCTGTTGAAACCTTCCTGAACGTGGTTCACCATCAAGGCTCTCTGTCAATGGCGGTGCAAGCATCCCGGAACTGGAAAACTCTTATTTGGTGCATTCTGACATATTTTTTAGACAATAAACATTCTGGTCATTTCAGTTGGTAGATCACAAGATTGTCTGTTACAAAGACAAAAATTTCATTACAGGTTCAGTTCTTTTGTCTTTGATTCATTTCTGATTTTACTTGTTTGTTTCAATCCGATTTCGATATCCCACTTAGAACTTTTTCAGTTAATCCTCGTAGCTCAATACACAATTATTGCTTTTGTAACATAGGCTACTTTACAGCTACTGCGTCTGTAATACACTATACACAATTACTTTTTCTGTAACATACTTTACAGTTCCTGATTCTCTATCCCATTCTACAATTACTGCTTCTTTAAAACACAACACAATTACCGCTTCTGAAACATATTACACAATTACTAATTCTGTAACATACTTTACAGCTACTGATTCTGTAACCCACAAAATAAAACAATTGTTTCTGTAACTCATTACACAATTACTGTTTCTGTAACAAACTACACAAGAACTGTTGTGTCTGCATAACAAAAAACAAATACTAACGCACTATGACTATACTATTACTGATTCTGTATCAAGGTGCGAATAGACAAGGTCCGGGTACCGGACCGGAGCCCCGTCCAGGCGTTTTTTTTATCCGGGAAAGCGAATACACGAGGAACGTCAACGTATACGGGATCGCACGGTGTTTTGGAAATCGCATTACTATCGTCGAAATATATTATGATTATAGTTATAATATCTATAACATAAGTGTCTGGATAAAGTTTTTGCCCACTTTTGTCCATTCAGAAGAAGTATTATGTAGAGTGTCCATTTTGTTTCCTTATCTGCAGAGTAAGTTTAAACAATTCAAGTACTAAGATTTTTGTTTCAACCATGTTTCAATACACGATCAGGTTGGCAATTAAACTTAATGGAAAAACGATGCGTTTGAAATTTAAATTTTTTATGCATAGATGTACTTCTGAAAGTGAAATGAAAAACAAATAAATTTATTTTAGTTTTATGTCCCGTTTCTCTGCTATGTGGGCTAATCAATACGAGCAACGTCATAGAGATTGAAATGAGGGAAATTTTGCCAGGACAGTAAAATAACCTGCTTTTTTTCGATTTCTCACTAACGAAGGATCTTTAACGTGCAGCACACGGGGCCTCGGTTTATCCAAATGACTAAACGCCCCTCTTACCTGTATCACCGACAGGGGAGATCTACTTCCGAGCAACCGTACAACAAAGAGAGCGTTCGGGTAATCTTGCAGTTACTGACTAATGTTAGGGCCAGAAGGAAAGAAGGAAAGAAAGAACTATATTTTATAAGGATAACAACTTAAGTTCATAGTTCAGGACCCTCTCTACCAACTGGCCCTTGGCCAAACCTCTTGGTATTGATCTTTCCCGGATTAGATTATCCGTACCCAATTACAGCTGGGTCGACTGGAATTCTGAGTGAAGATGACTTATTCAAGGTTATCGGACTTTCACACGCAGATCGAGATCAGAACCCACATCCACCAATCAAAACCAATAAAATCAGGCCGATTAAAATCGTCAGCGATTGTTTACGCCCGAAGTGACACACGTTTCGAATATTTTAGAGGGGTGGAATTTTGCCGTCGATAAAAATGGATTGGTACACAATGGCAGGGGCAGCCAGTGACTCCCTCTCAGTAGCGTATGCATGTGCCCCCACCCCCAAAGAAAAAAAAGGAAAAAAGAAAGAAAAGGAAATCATTCATCAA